CGCGCTCGTAGTGGCGGCGGTGATAACAATACGACACGCGGCGTGATAACGGCGCTCGGCGTAGCGACGATCGTAACACGCGATGGGACGGTAAATCGAGTCTACCGGTCGTGGCGGCGCGCTCGTCGTGGCGGCGGCGGCAACGGGGACAAACAACGACTACTGCAACTGGGTACCGGGGGCTTGAACAGTACGTTTTGAGGCGTACCACCACCGATACCTAGCGAGAGTGTTGGGGGAATCTTCCTCTCCGTCTACTGTTAAGTGTGAGTGGCTTGAACAGTACGTTTTGAGGCGTACCACCACTCACACTGCGAGTATAGGGAGAGGGCTTTGCGGGAGAAGGCGGTTTGAAGTTACACACTAAGAAAGGCGGTAAGTTGAAACGGCGTGCGATTTGATGTGTTGAAACTGTAAAACTGGTGAACTGAGTGAGTTGAGTGAACTGTGTGTTTCCATTGACCGTGCTGGCTCATATTTATGCCCTGTTTGCACTACGGGCGGTGTGTTGTATAGGTGAAAGTAGGTAGTTGCTTTCATTGTATTTCTGTATGTTGTATACTCTCTACCCTATGGGCGGCTACATGTAATTAGGGTGTAATCTTCTGGGGAAGATGATGGTTGTAACAGTTTTACGGGCTGTCGTGGTGGTTTTCCATAAAGTCGCTAGAAGTGTTGACGGTCGGAAAACCTGCGTAACGGCGCACACTCTATGCGGCGTCATTGCGTCATCGGTTTTCTGGATGTAATACGTGTTTTCTTCTTAATTCAACTTCTTTGGTACTTCTTTATATGCTTGGCGTGTTAAGAGCGTTGTATAGCTTTAACTTATATCGTTCAATGTGCTTGAATAAGTCGTTACAGTGACAAGTTGGTAGCATAAGTAGGTATTCCTATCATTACGGCGGCGCGTGTTTAATAGTTTGGGTTCGCGTGTTGGCGCGTGTATAGATGGCGACACATATTCCGTTATATTTAATTATAATAGCAATTCTGCATCGTTACAACTGCCACCCAACCCCGTATCGTTTATTCACCGTCACTACAAAATACAACTATAATATAATGTACATACGTGGGGGCCTCTAACCACCCTATCAGAAGAACCTAGGTATACCACTATTGCACATGCTATAAGGATAATGCCATAATATGGTAAATATAGGTTAGGTATGGTATACATTCATACCATATCAAATAAAAAATGGTAGGTAAATGTAGATAGATAGCCAGATAGGTACTTACTCGTTAGTAGTATGGTGGTCTCTGGAACTTTTCCTAACTATCTTGAACTTAGCTGGTGGCTGTCAGGTCAATTTTTGTCCAGAAAAATCGGGACAACTATATTATCTTGTTCAAGGCTAAAAGTAATATTATATCAAGACCTTTTGTTGTTGGTTTTAATTTTCCATTTAGAATACCACGATGATGATATATAATTTATAATTTATATGGATTTTAATCTTTGACTGACAGTTAATGGCCATAATGAGCGATAATGGTGATTTTTTTTCCGCTAATGAGGTGTGAAAATAGTTTAGTTGGCACTTGCAGGTTAATGGCGATTGGTTGGTCCCCTGCAGGAAAGGATAGAACTAAATGAGACGAAATAATAGTACCTACATTGTTGGAGTGTAGACACAAGCTAGCATAGGAGATAAGTTCCAAATTTACTTTTGTAAAAAATTACTATTTTGTAAATACGACTATGATAATTAATAAATTACTATTATTTTAGAAATACAATACAAAAATCAACTTATGATTACCAGGTAGTTAGGTACTTAGGTAACAGGGGTGACTCCAGAGACATGGTTGGGGGGGGCAAACCAAAATTGTCTGGCAATTTCCATGATTTTTTTTTTTTGTAACTTTGTTTTTAACAGTATACATTTGTTTAGAAATACAGCTTGGGGGGGGGGCAGGGCCCCCTCTGGAGCCACCCCTGTTAGGTATATAGATATAGTTATTATGTTTCCTTGCATTAGCATTACTATATATAGTAGGTGAATACTGTGTATTAAGGGGCCTCACTACCACGTCTTTTTTTTGTCAAAAACTTATGTTTCTAATTCCAATGATACGTGTCCACAATTTGAGTGAAAAATAAACATTTTTTCATGATCACAATATTATAAACTGACATGTGCGTGCGAGAGCCCTCCGTACCTCTACAATTGACCCTCATGGACGCCACAAACACTAATAATCATTTACGACTAACACATAGATCTCGGGGTGGCGACGACGAGATTAGAAATTGCCTAAATGATTCTCCTTAAATCAATGCCATAGCGAGGCCCCATAATTTGTGGATTGGATCATATGCAAATATAGTTTTTATAATTACGACACTGATGACCTACCTGCTATCAGCAGGTAGTGGGTACTATAAGTTCCTGATTATATTAATTTTAATGCTGTTGATTTCTTAATAATTTTTTTTTAATGAGTGTATACTGTATTGTACCTATTCATTATATAGGTAATATACATTATATGTCAGTGGTTCTAAAACTGTGGTCCACGCCCCCCCCCCAGAGATCGAGACACACCGACGATCATGCCTAGGGTCCGAGGCGCCATCGGTGGTTCGAGCCATGGACACATAAAATAATGATAAATACGTGAGCAATAATACAATAAATTAATAAATAACTTAGGTATAGTCGTATAGGTACCTTAAATTTAGGTACTGAATGAATTCTAAATTTCTTCCAATGTTAGGTAGGTACCTATAAATAATATAGGTATTCCGGTAGCCTTACACAATGTATAATGTATATTGTATATGTTAACATTTGGATAATGTCGATATTAGCCGGATAATATAACATTAGCAAAATATATGCAATCTATAATCTATTATACTATTATGATTAAGGACATCACGATATAGAAAATATTCTGTACGTTGCGTTGTTATAGTCATTGTGATTGTGACTACAGTTGATAGTCTTATACCTAATATCTACCTACCTGGTGCATACTTTGACACCTTGATGGAAAAGCAAGGTAGAAATATACGCGTAATTAATAATTAAACGGCCAAAAATAATAATGGAACCACATGAATTAAACATTTTTGATAGTTTTGATATTACCATTTTTGAATACAAGTGAATCATTTATAAATAATTTGTATTTTATACTACACAGTGTGGCAGTTTCCAACCGTATATAATATTATGTAAGTTTGGGGTATAACTTCCACCAGTGCAATTTTCAAAATGTTCATAAGCCGCAGTTCAAAACGAATCTTTAGAGTTAGGGACACAGTTTGGGAATTAAGTTTGAGTTAAGTGCGTTAAGTATAAAGACCGAATTCTCAACTATTTAGATTGTTTATTCCATTTAAGGAATGTCCTGTGGACTGTGGTGATATCAATTTTTTTCTGAATGAATGACCATCCAATTTTTTACTGTAAATTATAAATAGATGATCTTTTTAAAAATGTTGGTGTATTTAAATCAAAATTCGAAGGAGTAGTTGCTGAGTTATTAAAATAATTTGCAAAAGTATAAAATATATGTGATGGATCTAGTATTATTTTACTTATTACCTACCTGGCTACCTATAGGCTATACCTATGGCTATATGCCAATATATAATATATATATATATAGTATTTACTTGGGCAATTTTTACAAATTATAAAATGTTCAAATGTTGATAGATTGTATCTAGGTATTAACTATTAATTACTAAAATAGTAAAATGTTCAACACATAATTGCACATTTTGGATTCATAACTTTCAAATAATTTATTATGGACCTAATATACCTACCATTATTTCTAGTACCTAGTTACCTACGGGCTACGACCTACGAACCTACCTATACACATTCTAATAACTGAGAAACCATTTGTTTAAATTTGGATTTACATAATTAAATCGACATTTTCAAAGAGTAGACAATCTATAATTATGTACAGGGAAAAAGTTTGTATCACCACATCTCATATGGTCTTTCAGTTTAGGTAATTAAAAATTCCAAAACTGGGAATTTTAATAAATAAGTTATTGAGGGGAATATACCGGGTGTCCCGTGAGGATTTACCTATTAGCCGTAGAGGGGGACTCGCCGCCCGAACAAAAACCGGTTTTTTGCCGTTTTACTTATTAATTAAAAAAATTATTAAAAATCAGGAAATTAATGAAATTAAAAAGTTGAAACGTCAATATTTTCAGAAAAATGAACTCTACAAAATGGCAATCTTCAATATTTTTTTAAATAATTAATTAAAAAAATATTTTTTTTAACTTTTTTACCAAAACATAAAAAAAAAATAAAAAATTAGTTATTTGTAGTGCTTACCTCTATGAGTCTTAATAAGAAAATAGAATTACGATATCTCTATTATTTCAGGAGATATCGCAATGAGTAAATCCTCACGGGACACCCTGTATAATGGAGATGAGCATTGAGTGAATCAGTGGCGGCTCCAGGGGCCCCAATGGTTCGCCGACAAGCTGTATTTATAAATAATTGTATACCTACTGTTGAAAATAAAATTACAAAAAAAATCAAATTATAATATCTACATTTTCTGAAAATTGCGTGGTGAATTACTTTGTACTGTTCATTAGTCAGCTACTTTATTTTCCTGATAACATAAAAATATTTCGCAATATACCTACTCATTAGTCATTATAAATTACAATTTAGAATTAAGATGACTTATTGACTTCTAGAAGCTCCAGAATGATCTTAATAGCTTTGTAATTTTGGCCAATTCACTAGGTACACGGTACACCTATCTGTCTTACATTGAGTACTGATATATTGTGGTCGATGATATTTATTAGTGAGCGCTTCAACGTAGGCTGTACAACCATAAAGTAACTCTATGGCTGTGACTTAAGGACTATTCATTAAAACAAATAAATCAAATAAGGGTGACAACTTTTCTATTAAGACCCTACGATTAAAATATGTAATAAACCTAAATTGTATTTGTAAATTCATTGCTATTTATAATTTCTTTATTTTTAGAGTTGAACCTGTTATTAATATTAAAAATATAAATGTAAGAGATTTACCACCAGCAAATTTGACCAAATCATTATTTACAAATGAAAATACAACCAATAATACCAATAAGCAACCCAGCACCGGTGGAAAATTATCTAAACCAAAAATATCACCCATTGTTTTTCCAAATCCAACAGTTTCAATCAACAAATTTGTACCAGATCCACAAGTAATCGAAAAATGTTCATTGAATGAAACTTTTTGTGTCAAAGTTGACAATTATCCAAGGTAAACATCAAATAAAATTATTTTTAAAAATACCCAAAAACTGATGCACTTAAATTGTTTATTTTTTCATTATTAGACAAGATTTATCCAATCTTTTTAGAAACAGCAAATATATGTCACCTTCTTATTTTGGAACAGATACTGTAACTAATGACGTAAGTAACCTTAATATTGTATACAATATATTGTGCATTTAGTATTTTAGTGTAATATTATCATTCCAAATAATAATGATAAGCAGTGAAATTGTTAATTTTACAAATGCATTTATACTTTAGATACAGACAAGAATATCCAATAGCAATCTTGAAACATTTTGTGAATCAAAAGTAAGTACTCATCAACTAATATTAATGTGCCTTAAGATATTAATATATTTTTATTATTTTATAAATATTATAAATGCAGTCATGTAATTTAAATCTTAAAACGTATAGTAAAATATACAACTATGCATATGGGCATGAGTGTATGGAAGTGATTTAGAAGTTGACATAAATATTTTTATGAAGTGTAGGACAATTTGTATGTTAATATATTTTGATAGAATTTTCGACAGACAATACTGTAAACCTTTTAAGTTTGGAGCCCTTGGTATATTCTAGGCTTTTATTATAACATAATATATAGGTGATTCATGTACAAAATATTTTTTATTTTATTTTAATACATTAAAAAATATTTTCTAGGAAGATGTAATATTTCCGGAAGCAGGTGTTACAAAAAACAATGAATGGCGTTATATTATACAAGACCCAAATAATGACGATTCAAGTTTTAGACAAGGGATTCGAGTGGAGAAATGTATGTAAGTATCAAGTTTAAGAATGTACAAGAGTTTGAATTAATTAAATTATTTTTGTAGAGATGCTGGAGCGAAGTGCAAATTTAATGATCTTTTGCCAATTGGATATACATCAATTTGTGTACAAAAATATATCTATAAAAAAATGGTTGCTATTAAAGATTCTAAAGAAGTATATTATGAAAGTTTTAAAATACCATCATGTTGTGAGTGCATGTATAGTATTAATCCAGATGCAGATCTATTAACAAGGTTTAATCAGAATCGATCGGAAACTTCAAAAAAGAACAAATACAACAAAAATTAAAAAGGTTAAGATACATACACAAAAAATAAAGTATATTTTAATCTGTAAAATTATATAATGTAATTTCGTAATAATGTGTAAATATGTGTAATCTTTATTAAAAATTTGCTTGATATAACTAACATGTAAAATATTCAAAGTTGAAAATGTAATTTAAAATAAAGTTAAGGTAAAAATGTTTAATGTCTGGAGAGTTAAAATGTAACATTTTTTTTTTTTTTTTAGACACAAATTAATATAAATTATACCTATTAGAAATTAAAGTAGAACTTATGCATTAATTTTTATAAGAATTATTTGTGTGACACATGATATCGATTATAAATAATAATAATCAGTGCTCGAATTGGGAATTATTAGGTAGAGGAAATCAATCCAACAATTTATAAACTGCTTTTCAAGTGCAAAATTACTCAATGCAGATCCCTTATCCAATTCTTAATTTTTCAATACCACATTTCACCTTGGTTACAACATTTTAACTTTATTTTATTCTAAATTTCCAATTATAATAATATATTTAACTATATGTATGTAACATGTAAGAGAATATGAATTTATATTTTATATTCACCTTATTTTTGAAAATTATATTTATAGAAATAATACCTACATATTGCGGTAGGATTGTAGGAAATAAAAAAATTATAATTTGTTCTTCAGGCGCCATACCTATGCCATTTGTGTACACTAGTCCACAGATATTTGATTATACAATAGTTTAATGTAGGCTTATAAATTATAATATCTGCGAACTACTAAACTAGGAAAAGAATAAGCGTGATATAGTAACTATAGTAAAAAACCAGCCAAGTGCGAGTCGGACTCGAGCACGAAGGGTTCAGTACCATCATCTCAAGGGGGGACCCAGGGGGAGGGGGGGTGGGAGGTCAGCTGACCCACAGTTTTTTTCCCAGTTAAATGTGGCCCCTCGAAAACGCAAACTACATAAACATTTTTTTATTTCAAAAAATTATGTACAGTGGTGGATTCAAGAGAGGTACACTTGTCCCCCTGTCATATATATGCGTCCCTTCTATCAAAATATCGAAGATCTGCCCCTGATTATGTAAAATGATCAATAATAAAATAATATTAAATACCTAATAATAATTTATAAAATGTACACAGGCTCAAGAATGTTTCTATACAATTACAAATATAATTATATAAATGTATAAGATAATGATGTAGGGGTATATACAGACGTGAAGACTGAGTATTGAAGTAAAATATAAGCTTATATAATGTACCTAAATTCAAAAAACACCAGTATAAAAATATGTTAGATATATTAGGTAGGTATATAAGATTTTATGAAGTTGACATAAATTAAATTGATATAGAGTGAAATACCGTTAATTTTGTCTAGTTTACCAAGGAGTGTACGACAATACTATTGAAACTGGAGTAACTTGACCTTTCAAATTATAGAAGTATTAAAGTTCATAATATCACTAGACATGGTTTCTTCGTATCCAAATTTATATACTTTGAATAAAATATTTTATACACTTCCAGTCAGCAGTGAAACTGCAGAAAGATATTTTAGTTAACTTCTCAAAACAAAGCCCGGATTAAGGGGGCGGCACGGTCCCGGGGTCCATCTTTATCCCCAATATATATTTTTTAACGCTTCCAATACAGTTAAAAAAAAAAAAATTTTGAGCATTTTAGATTGACGATTTAACTTTTTAAGAATATAAAAAGGTATAGTCATAAGAAAAACATATTTAGCTCTTGTAAATGATGTATTTCAGTTGAAAGTATTAATTCATATTATACTAAAATTTAGAGGACTATAGTTAATAACCTAGTGAACCAAAATTGATCATTTGACTGTCAAAATGTTCAGAAAAAAAGCTTTACCAGAATCCATAAAAAAATATAGTGGTTACCATTTTAAAAAGGAATTAAGAAGTCTAAACCAGTAATATTCAACCGGTGAGTCACTACCAAATCTTGGGTCGCGTATAACCTATAAAAATGGGTCATAAGAATAACAGTTCTTTTTTGTTAGAAAAATAAATAAATGTCTACAATTATAAATTATGAATTCGAATAAGTTATGAATTAATTAAAGAACCATATTTTACAGTAGATAATATAATGACAGTTAAAATGTCTACTGTCATAGAAAATCAATAAATTGAACTTACTTTTGATCCCAAACTTAAACAAATATTTATTGAAACTTTTTTGGAAATTTTTTGGGCACACTTATGCACGGGAAATTACACAAAACTAGCAGCTAAAGTGTTTTTTCTTTCATGGCCTACAAAGTTGACACGAGTCTTGAAAATATTGTTACGAAAACAGTGGATCGCGAGTCAAAAAGATTGTATCAGTCAAAAGTCAAAACCTTAGAAAGGATGAAAAATATTTTTATGTTAATTTTTAACAGTACCTATTAATGTTTACCTACCACTGAAGCTCAAACTTACGACGCGGTGTTGCCGCAGAGACGTCTACATGGTTGCACACTTGCACGTTTATTTCAGTGTGTATTCGGTTATTTCCATATCACGATGCAGAACAAATAACATTATCCGCAGGCATATAACACCGAGCTGTTTGCAAATAGGTAAATACTATAATATGATTCGTAACTAGTCGAAACGGAGAGGCGTGGACTTATAATATATCGCTCATATAATATTATGCGCACCCGTACATGGCTCGATTTTGGGGTGGTTAAACGGAAGGTGAAGTAAATCATTTGTCAACCAGTAACCACTCTAGTATAGCTAATTTTTAATTTTTTTACTATCATGAAAATCGATGACATCCATGACAATACAATATCCACCTGCTTGACCATATAGGATTATATGCAAAGCGAATGAGGTAGATATAATAGATAGGTATTAATACATATTACATACTTTATAATAATACGTTTAATATGAATAACATAATAATATTAATAATATTAATTTAATTAATACAGAACAAAACAGGTGGCGAAGAGCCGACGATGGTACAGACGTACAGTGCATGAAATACGTGAGGCAAACCTACACTAACTTGGTACAAATGACAATGGAGGACATGATAAACGGTTTCAGAATAGTACCAGCGAACACAAAAGTGAGATAACGGTGGGAGAGTAGAGGATGTTTAAAAACCTTTTAATTTCTATAATGTATATACATATTCCTGGTCTATCTTGTCAACAGAACCACAACAACAAAGGAACCGCCTGACAAATTTCTTTGTCTGGCGCCAAAATGAACGACGAGTACGTGTGTGTCTCGGACTTTCCGGTTTCCGTACATTGCTGGTGACCTGCTGAAACTTTAGATTTGGCGTTGATCGCCACCCAATATCTGCAGCTGTCTCGTCAGCTAATTTTGGATGTATGGGGATATTTGGCTCAGATACACAGAGCCTGCCATCCAGAAAACCCTTGAAATCACAATTTTTCGACGGTTCCAGTCTTTGTATATCAATGGTACCTTTAAACTTCAAGTTTGGCGTTGATCGCCACCCAATATCTGCAGCTGTCTCGTCAGCTAATTTTGGATGTATGGGGATATTTGGCTCAGATACACAGAGCCTGCCGTCCAGAAAACCCTTGAAATCACAATTTTTCGACGGTTCCAGTCTTTGTATATCATTGGTACCTTTAAACTTCAAGTTTGGCGTTGATCGGCACCCAATATCTGCAGCTGTCTCGCCAGCTAATTTTGGATATACGGGGATGTTTGGCTCAGATACACAGAGCCTGCCGTCCAGAAAATCTTTGAAATCACAATTTTTCGACGATTCCGGTTTCCGTACATCGCTGGTGACCTGCTGAAACTTTAGATTGGGCGTTGATCGCCACCCAATATCTGCAGCCGTCTCGCCAGCTAATTTTGGATGTATGGGGATGTTCGGCTCAGATACACAGAACCTGCCGTCCAGAAAACCTTCGGAATCACAATTTTTCGACGGTTCCGGTCTTCGTATATCATTGGTACGGTTAAACTTGAGATTTGGCGTTGATCGCCATCCAATATCTGTCGATTTGGCGGAGGAATTTTCACACATCGCAGCCATGTTAGGCATAGATACACATCTATATGACATATTTATTTGAAAATATTATATAGGCACAATTAACGGAGAAGATTATATAGAAATACGTATAGGAATGAAATTTATCCGTAATGAACACAAGAAACTAATATTGACAAGTGGTAACTACTAACTATGTGACACAGATATGAATTGTAGATTTTTGAAACATTCACGTACATGGCAACGATATTTTAGTTGTTTGTGTTGTTTTCTTAGAGCCAATATTAATAATTTTAATGAAGTTGAGAATTTCATAATGCTTTACCATGAATTTTCGAAAACTAATTGGATTCGTGTTGGTCAGCTTGACAATCCATCAAGGTAAGTAAAAATAGTTCTCATTATTTGATTAATATTAATGTATAAGACATTTTTTTTTTTCAGAGTCATGTTTCATAAATATTGGGTATGCCAGCACAGTAAGGTGACTTCATTAACATTATTAATATTGGCTCTAAGAATCGAGGTCTTTTCATTTATATTAGAAACTTCATTTGATAGAACCGCAATGCTATTATTATTTTTTAAGAACTTAATGAATTCATTCATTATGAATACAATATAATTGATTATTCAGAAATGCAGAAACAGAGAACTACCACCAACAAGTTAAATACCCAAACAACCAGAGCTTAAAAATGCCTAACTAGTGAAAATGCTAAGATGCTTTAAACACTAACAACTTAAAATTAAAAGTACAACTATAACGGAGATGTACAATTAAAGTTTAAACATGACAGCAAGTCAAAAATCAATTTAATATTCCTGTTGACAAATTAATAATAGCTGGTAGGTAGTCTGGTAGTCAATAAATAAACCATGTGACTATACTGTTATCAGTTTGATAAATATAACCGCTGTGGAAAAAGCTGTAGGTAAAAACGAGTATTACTAGAGGAAACGGGAACGACCACGACGTGGCGCAAGACACGGAAAAGAGCCGAAGCCGGTGCCGATGCACGAAACGGTTCAACAAACGAGAGGACAAAAAAATGTCTGCCGGGCGAACGCCAAAAAAAGGCGAGCCTAAACGGAGGATTTGTTCAAATTGTCCGGCGAACAAAACGGCGTCTAGCTGCACACAAGAGAGCTGTGAACTCAGGACAAAAGCTCACCTTGGCGTATTACACAGGCGTAATAAAGGCGAGAGGGGAGGGATGAGCCAAGACTGCAGCGACGTTTAAAAGCCACTGTGGAATTAATAGACAATGACCTGCAGTAGCTGACAGAGGTTACTTCTGCCCTGCGGTCAGAATTCTGGCCCTGGATCAAAAGAAGTGTTTATGTAAAAAGATGATACCTACCTATAAATTATAAAATATATGGCTATATTTCCGTAATATTGTGTAGGTACCTACATTTAGTATTTATACTAATAAACTTTATAATTGTTATGTAATTTATTTGGTTTTATTTGATATTATTGAATTTTTAAGCTTTTGATCAATGACCAAAAAAAATGTAACAACAAGTTACATCGAAAAACTAAAAAAACCCTACGATTTTACGAGAAAAACGATGTGTAATGAAGCTCTCCGTGGATTTGAATTTCTCCAATTTGCTTAGTAATTTTATATTTTTCTTTAGAATGTTCTATATTAGAGTATAGTTTTGCCATTTAGAATTCTTGTCAATCTTGCTGTGAATGGCGCTCCTTCAGATTGTATTGTTATCAGTATTATGTTTATTCTATAATAATTAATAATATTACCTAACTAGCTAACAAAATATATATTATGCTGTATATTATACATATATGTTAATGCACAGATCCCACTATAGGGCATGATATATTATCAATAGAAATAAAGTATTTGTAACGTGTTCAATACGAGTACCTATACTAGATAATATATAATATGTCATATAATATGACATTTTATTGGATATTAAATATTAATTTTAATGTAAGACACTAATTATTTCATAAGCTTTGAACGTTTTTTTACACCATTTTAAGTCACTAAAAACAGCAATTTCTTAAAAATTAAAATATTTATAAGTGTTAGGAACCAGGTACTAGGTAATACATTACTTGTCCAAAATTGGATTTTTATAGATCAAATACTCATAATAATTCAAATAATATTAATAATAGATATTTCTTTTGTTTTTCACGGTGCTTTTGAAAACTACTGGGAAATTTTTACTTTTGACCCCCCAAAGTACCAACCAGATTGATTCAATTTCCTGTCAGAAAAGATACTGTTGAAAAAAATCCAAGCATTTTTACTGTCCTAAGTAGGTAATAGGTTTATGGATACATATTGATATGGTATAAAAATATGATGTGCTAATGTATTATTAATGTCGTTCTTATAAACGTTCGAATCAAAAAATAAAATTGATAATAGAAACGTTAGTTTGTCCATTGTGTAATATTATCGTTTCCTGTATTAAATGTAAAAAAAAATCGCTCTGCTGTACAGTAGTGTACAAGTTGATCGCTGTAATGGATGGTGTTAAATTTGAATCCAATTATATAATATCATTGTATAAGATAAACGATTCTGAGCGAAAACGGTCAGTCAGTCTATAATATTACTAAGTATATTTGATGATATTATTGTGAACATAGGAGTGTTTACGAGAGTGGCCAGGTGGGTACTGCCCCCCCCCCCGACAGACTGTGTATAAACGAACAATTTCAAAATGTTTTAACTTAATGGATTTTTTTAAATCAACTGAGAAAAGCTAAGTTATTTCAATTGTAAATTAAACTATTTAAGTTCATAAGATGATTAGAAAATAAACTAACTAGTTAAGTTAAAAAGTTAAAAAGAAATTAACTTTTTAACTGAACTTTAACTTTTCAACTAGTTAATGCCCACCTTTGAATTTTCTAGCTAATATTCTAGATCAAAGATAGATCAAAGACATTTCGGAGAATCGCAACAATATTATATTATAATATAGTCTTGTTTGTCAAAGAATGTAATCATTGAAAACCAGGTTAAAAATGATAAACTGTACCTATACAATGCTGTATTATAGTTTTTAACAATATAACACATAGTTGACAAATACCGCTTCAATAAAATAAATTATAAAAGTAAAAAATGTCTAAATTTCAAAAATAAAGTCAAACAAACTTTGAAAGTTGTCCAACAATCTCTAATAACTCACTAACAAATTTGTTAGACTGTTTTAAAAGTTTTAAAACACCCTCACACCCGCAATAACACCACTTTCATATTAAAATCGTTAGAATGAAATGAAAAAAATCATTTCTTTCTTGGGCCGTGGACCGTAGTATATAATCTATTTCTATAATTTAGTATACCAGCCATTATAGGCTCCACTCCGAGTTACCACATATCGCAATAAGACATGACAACATTATTATTATTCACATTAATTATTAATAGTAAATACTAAATACTATGATGTAAGGTTATCCGTATACACTTTTAGTAATCACTTATCAGTATACTTTGTATTATTTCATTATTCAATGATTTTTTTTACTTGAACCGAAATTTTTTTTTAAAAGTACATAATTTTGATGCGAGGCCAATTTCACGACGAGGCCCGCTGAAAATCCCGCCTTCAATCATTTGTAATTCCACCACTGGTGTAGGTACCATCGACAATCAACCATCGTGTCTAGACGCTCGGTGCTGCAAAGCTCATGACCATAGTCACGGCAGACGGCAGTGGCGCAGTGCTCAAATAACAGTCAAGCCAGCCGACTGGCTGTGCCCGTGTGCATCGTTAATTTTAATATTATTAAATACAATTTACGTTTACGCGTAAACATCGATCAATCGTTACAATCTGTTGAACAATATAAAAAATATTTTACAACTTTTTACTAGTACATATTTTATTTGACAAAATGATCATATGGACGCGGCTGATGATTATATTGGCTGTCATTTGTACGGTAATATAAATATCTTAAATCAAAATTACTTATTGTAAAGATGTTGTATAGATTGTAAAATGCTAATATAAATATTCAGTGCAATTTTCAAGTATTTACAGTCATGCGTTTTTTAATTATAACAAAATAAGAAAATCGTTACATGAAAAATCGAGTGAATATCGAATGTTGTAAAAATATGAATTTCAAATGCTCATAGAAATTTAATTTGACTTTCTCCTAGAAATTTCTTTTTAATAAAGGTAGTTAGGCTTATGAGGAATCTTGTATTATATTTTAAAATCTTAGATTTAAAAAGAAATTTTTTTATGAATTTCTAACTCAAAATAATCTGCAAATTTTCGTCATTTTTATGTATTTTATCAATATTTGAACTTTAAATGCTTATAAAAAAAAATGTTGGCTATGGATTTTTGATTTTTTACATCTGCCTTTGAAAAAATATACTATTTACACCAAAAACCAAAATCGATTTTTTCGAAAACAGATTTTCCTTTCAGAAAAGATAGTGTCGAAGAAAATCTAAGTGTTTTTACCAAGGCCGTGTATGAGGGGGTGGGGGTCAAACTTTTCAGTTTTCAATTTTTTTAATTTTTTTTTTTTATAATTGTCAATAAAATTTTGTTTGTTTTGTAAAAAATCATGAAAATTTACTCCAAGGCTCCTGTTAAATTGTTAGTATAGTAGTTGAAAAATATTGAAAATAAATAGCACAATTTTTTTTTTTAAAGCATTTAAAGTTCAAATATTGACAAAATTTGTCAAATATAAAATTTAAAATTATTTTGTAGTTAAAAATGTATAAAATGCTCAACTTCTATAGCTAAGGATTGAAAAATTAAAACAAGGTTCCGCGTTATAACTTATAATATAGTAATAACTTTATTCACAATAATATCATCAAATAATAAATATTATACTTAGTAATATCACAGGTATAGGCTGACCTAACCGTCTTGGCTCAGAATCGTTTATCTTCTACAATGATATTATATCATTGGATTCAAATTTAACACAATCCATTACGGTGACTCACTTGTAACCTTCTGTACAGCAGAGCGACACTCACTTACCCATCTTACCCACCCAAAAAAAAAAAAAAAAATTAAACAAAAAACACACATCTTTGTAAAATCAATACATTATCATCGTTCCACTCAGAATCTAAATAATACAATAATTGAAAAAGTATGTTGTTATTGAAACGTAGGTAGTATAGGACATACTAACATATAACAACGTTAGATAGTTTATCAGTAAATTGGTTTTTAAATTAATACTCATAATAGGTATATTCAGTAATAGTAATAATATTATAAGTAGTAAAAAAAATATACTTTTTATATTCATATTCATTCCCAGCATAATTGAATAGGTAGGTATAGTTAATTTGCACGGACATAGTTCAAAGGTTTTGAGATTAATACTAAATGCAGTAAAATGTAATAATTAAAAATTAAAGTATAATACATTTTCATATTAACTATGCGCTGTGCAGGTACCTAAACATTTCAACACATATTTATTTTTTGTACATATTTTAATATAGGTTTATTATAGTTTTGCATCAAAACTTATTTAATACGTAGGTTATTATAACTTATAAGATATTTTGTAAAAAATTCCTATATACATTCGCACGAATGGGTTAACTAACAATATGCCTATTTTTTATATATCAATATTATATACGATATACCTTATAATATACTCGTATACCTATATTATTGTAACAAATTACAAAATCACTCGACGTGAAAATAAAGTTTTCTGTTTGACAGAGCCTTTACAATATTGATTTTATTCAGTTACTTCTATCGTCTTTTACTTTATAGGTATAGTTACAAATTTGCCTAATTATATATTAAAATAATAAGATAAGAGTCTCAAAAATAGATAATAAGTAATGATTAAATTACAAATGCACAAGGTCATCAGAGCCTCAACTCAAACCATACTTTTTATTTGTGTTATGTTTTAAATAAATAATAAAAAATAATTAGGTATCATTATTTGTTTAGTATGTTTAACAACAATGTAAGTATTATATGAAATTATGTATTTACTTAATGGCTATAATATAATTGTTACTATTTTATTATCGATTGTAGGTATTCCTGTATATTATATTAATGCGATTATGTATTACAATAATACAGTGCAGAACTATACCTAATTAATAATTATATAGGTACTTACCTATATTAATTATAATTTATAGAGGCTACAGATTAAACTGCAAAAGACAAACAAAAAAATCATAGTATAAAACGTCAAAACGTCAAAAAGTTAAAAAAATATTACATATTATAGATACCTACTTAATCCAGAAATTAGATACCTACCCTGCGACAGTGAGGTATCCAAAAATGTAGGCTTAAATATTTAATACAGGGAAGTCATTTGGGGGTGGGTGGTGCATGGTGTACATTTGCATCAACTTTTTTTTTAAATAACTTCTTTGGTCTGCCAACAATGCATATAGGCCCTGATATACCTAAGTGTTTTATATTTTTGTATATTTTTTCAGTACCTATTAAAAAAAAAAATGTATTGTACTAATTTTTAATCTTCGAGAATGTTTGATTTGATTTTGTGGTCCCACAATATTATAATTGATAAAATTATAACACAAACATTGTAAAGAAGGATACCAATTAAATTTCTGGTTTTATTAAGCTAGCTAAATTATATATTTTGAGTATGCAGGGAGAAAAAATGTGGATGTTAGGTATTTTATTATAAAGGTGATTTATACCCATACATTTATTTACCAAGTGTAAATACCACTAGACACTGGTATCCACAATATAAAAGAAATACATTAAAAGTACATACACATATAGTTCGTGTCAAAAATAGTAACAATATTATGAAAAAAATATACAACAATTTTAAATTAAGTAAATACAATTTTTTTACATCGCTTCAAGTACTTAGGTAAAACGTACATTGAGCTAGTAATTATTAATTAAGTGCACTCACATATTTTATTTTTAATTAAGTAGTTAATTATTCTTGGGACAAATATTTACCTAAATTTATCCTTAGTCATGAAGTGATCAAATACTTGATTAAATCCAAATTGTAGCCAATATAACTTACAAGAATTGTATTCATAATAAATTAGGTAACTTTTTTGAGATTAATTTACCCTTTACAGCCTTACAGGGCTAATTAGTTTTAATGACACTTTAGGGCCCTAAAACTAGCATGATTGACCTGCAATGGTCAATGTTAATATTATAATAATGAATTTGATTAAAATGGTCTTTACTAAAAAGTTAATAATTTATTTAATTTTTAGGTTCTATGGCTTATTTCAACTATAGCCCACATATCAAGTCATAAGGAGGATCAAAAGTAGGTTAATTGGCAATTCCTAAACCTATATTGGTTTCATAACTTAATATAGGTAATAAAACTATATAAAATATTAAAAAGTGACCGAAATCATAATTTACATATTCAAGTATAACATAAACGATATATACAAAATGATGAACATCAGTATTCAGTAACTAAATAGTTATAAGTTTATAACTGTAGGTATAAGTAGGTATACCACTATTCCATATACAAGCATAATGGTACCTAGGTATATCATAAGTTATGATTATTATTCATATTATTATTAGGTACTATTGTTATGAAACGGATTTGTATCTCAGTTAGCATGTTTTCCTGTGTAGCAAAAAAAACTATGCAGATGCATGAACTTACGAGCCCTGATCATAACGTATCAATTAAAAAAATGGTAGACAAATAACCGCATATTATAGTTATATCCCAGTCCCACCAGTGCAATTTTCAAAATTTCATAAGCCAGTTAAAAACGAATCTTTAAAGTTAGGTATAGCTGTTCGGCTGTGACGTTCAACATGAACACACGTACTTTGTATTATCTCGCATTCTCGCTCCATTATCGCCGCAGTGCGCTCATTATTGTATACTATCGGTAGTTTCTAAACAACAATATCAACGAATAAAAACACTCGAAAAATTGGTTCAAATTTGCCAAGTACACGCATCACCCCAAAACGTAATTTGTCGAATTCGTCTCTGTCACCTAATCAGAATGATAAAAATCCAAATTTTTCGTTTCTCCAAACAAATTTGTGGTTCTGCCAATAACAATAACTGTGAAAATAGCGATGTTTCCACACCTTCAATCAGCTATAAAGACGACTCTACTATGTCACCTCACACTGTTCAAGATTTTGATCCGCCGGCTCCGCCAATCTACATAAAAAAAACATTGCAAATTACTCCGCCTTCAACTCCATTTTGGCAAGTATTACCGGCCCAAACGCCTTTACTTGCAAGTCTTCGGCTTCTCATCTCATCGTCCAACCTTCAGGTCGTAATAGCTTTAACAAAATTGTCTCTCACTTAAATGAAACTGAAGCCAGTTTTCATTCATTTTCACCTCGCTTTCAACTTGCCTACAGGGTCGTCATCAGAAATTTACACCCCTCGACCATAGGTAGGTACCGATATTTTCCTGATGAACTAGGACATCAAGTAAAATACATTCACAACGCCAAAGATAAAAATAAACGTCCCCTTACACTTTTCTCTGTGGAGATCTACCCGAATGAAAAAACGAGGACGTTCACAATATTATAAGTCGTTGCTTAATACCAAAGTGGTTATCGAAAAACCCCACAAAAAAAGCCTTTCACAATGTCATAAATGCCAAGCGTTTGGTCATATGCAAAACTATTGCAACCTCGTTTCCCGCTGCATAAAATGTGGTGCGGAACATCGTACTAACGAGTGCACCAAGGCCCCGAAAAGTCCAGTCAAATGTGCACTTTGTGACCACACCGAAAACTTCTATCCGGTTCAAATTCCAGTCCGAAATCTTACTTTGAAGCCACCGCAGGATTCAAGATTCATCAGAATCCACAGATCACACTTCCCACATACTATCTAATTGTATTACTAACCTCAACTCTCTCTCCTCTCCTCAGTTCTTAACGCACTAATCCCCAAAGACAGTTATCTGAAACCGCGGCTTCAGCATAACGTTTGGGCCGAGGTTGAGCATTAATTTCTTTAGGACGGAGCCTGTGGAGGTGTTTTTTGAAAATGCGTTTTCATTTTTAATGAATAACGATCAGCCTTTTTTACTATAAATTTATGATTTTTTTTAAAAAATATTGATATATTTAAACCAAAATTGGGAATAGTACCTTGCTGAGTTATTAAAATAATTTTACAAAAATAAAAATATATGTGATGGATTTAGTATTACACTATTATTTTACTTATTACCTATTTAATATATAATACCTACTTGGGCAATTTTTACAAATTATAAAATGTTGATAGATTGTATCTAGGTAGGTATAGTAACTATTATATTAATTACTAAATAGTAAAATGTACAAGTACAACACATCATTGCACATTTGCACTCATATTTTTCAAATAATTTATTATGATTATTATTTATTATACCATTATTTCTAGTAGTTACCTACGACCTACCTATACACAGTCTAATAACTGAAAAACTACTTGTTTGAATTTCGATTTTCATCGTCATTTTCAAAGAATAGACAATCTATAATCAATTTGCAGGAAAAAGAGCCATTTTCATTTGAAAAAAGTTTGTATCACCACATCACAAAATATTTTAAAATATGGTCCTTTAGTATAGGTAATTGAAAATTCCAAAAATGGGGATTTGAATAAATTCATTATTAAAGGGAATACAATGAATACATAATGGGTTGAGCGTGCTTATCGAATCAGTGGCGACGTCAGGGGCCGCCCTCCAAGCTGTATTTCTAAATAATTGTATACCTACTGTTGAAAATAAAATTACAAAATAAAAAAATCATATACCTACCTAATCATATAATATAAAATCATATCGAAATTTTCTAAAAATTATGACTTGCCCCCCCCCACAACCATGTTTCTGAAGCCGCTCTGTTCATTCATTAGGTAGGTACCTATGCAAGAAGCACTAACATTAAATTATATTTAAATTAACAAATTAAGATTGATATAGTCCACTTCCACGTGAACAATAAATTATTATAATTTACGCATATTTGTTATAATTTATTTCGTATTACTTATATGTTCTTAATACTTTATAATACTTTTCATCTAGATCAACTACATTTCCCAATATTTAAGATTTCTTAAATCGTGACTTTCCCTCAAGGTGGCAATTATTATCCCTCTTACTTCTCTCATTATGTGTTAAATTGCTTACCTACACACTAGACAATTAAACGCTTAATTTAAACGTATTTTATTTCAAGCGATTAATCACGGAGTTCCGGAAGGTTCGTGAATAATCGGGTGGTGTGCGGCCGTGTGCCACCTTAGTAATCATCTCGGTATCTGTTATTTTCGTAGATGTAGTCAGCTGCTTTGTTTTGATGTTAACATGAAAATATTTCTTAATATTAACTCATTAGTCATTAGAATTTAGAATTTAGATGACTATTATTGACTTCTACAAGCTCCAGAATGATCTTAATAGTTTTGTAATTTCAACGAAAAAAGATCAACTACATCACGATTTGAGATAGGTATCTACATACAGTATAGATACATTTTAGGTATCTTAAATCGTGCACTAAGTACACCTATATGTTTTACACTGAGTACTGATAAATTGTGGTCAGTGATGTTTACTAGAGGGCGCTTCCACGTAAATTGTAACTTAAAGACTAATTTTAATTTAATAGGTAATTAATATAAAACAAATATAAGTGACAACTGTACCATTAGGATCCTCTGATTAAAATAATATGTATTAAACCTAAAATTGTATTTGTAAATTCTTTGCTCTTTATAAATTCCTTATTTTTAGAGATGAAAAAGATCCAACACCAACAAACTTGAACCAATCATCATTTAAAAATGAAAATACAACCAATAATACCAATAAGGAAAATAGTACAAAATTACCTAGAAAACTAGTTCCACCAATTGTTTTTCCAAATCAAATCAACAAATTTATACCAGATCTACAAAAAATGAAAAAATGTTCAACAAACGAAACTTTTCCTTTTTGCATCAACGTTGATAATTATCCAAAGTAAAGTAAACATCAAATAAAATTATTTTTCAAATATACCCAAAAACTGATATACTTACTTAAATTGTTTATTTTTTTATCATTAGAGAAGATTTATCCAAAATTTTTAGAACCAGCAAATATAACTCAACTTCTTATTTTGAAACAGATAATGAAGTATGTAACCTTAATATTGTATACAATATATTGTAGGTACATTTAGTGTAATATTATCATTCCAAATATCAATGATATCTACCGAAATTGTTAATTATACAAATGCATTTATACTTTAGATACAGACAAGAATATTAAATAGTAATCTTGAAGAATTTTGTGAATCAGAAGTAAGTACTCATCAAATAACATTAATATACCTTAAGATGTAATTTTTTTGTTATTTTATAAATAAGTGCAGTCGTGTTATTTAAATGTTAAAATGTATAGTAAAATATACAACTATACTGAATGCATACTCAATTCATGTGTCACATTAGACATATTTTAACATGTCTTATGAGACACATACATTAACTATGCATACGGGCATGAGTGTATGGAAATGTTTTAGAAATTGAAATAAATATTTTCAATAAGTGTAGAACGGTTTGTAATTTGTATATTAATATAGTATGCTAGAATTTTCCAAGATCAATACTGAAAACCCTTGGTATATCCTAGGCTTTTATCATAACATAATATAGGTAATTCATGTCAAAAACATTTTTATTTAATAAAAAATATTTTCTAGGAACAAGTAATATTTCCGGAAGCAGGTATTACAAAATACGGTGAATGGCGTTATATTATACAAGACCTAAATATTGACAACACTAATTATAGACAAGGGATTCGAGTGGAGAAATGCAAGTAAGTATCAAATTAAAAATGTACAAGAGTTTGAGTTAATTAAATTATTTTTGTAGAAATGCTGGAGCGACGTGCAAATTTGATGACATTTTCCCACTTGGATACGCAACAATTTGTGTACAAAAATATATCTATAAAAAATTGGTTGCCATTAAAGATTCTAAAGAAATATATTATGAGAGTTTTAAATTACCATCCTGTTGTGAGTGCATGTATATTAAAATTACAGATATATCATCGAGGTTTAACCAGGGTCTAACGGAAGATTAAAAAACAGACGTGTTCAACAAGAAAAATTAAAAAGGTTAAGATACATACACAAAAATTAAAGTATAATATTTTGATCTATCAAATTATATAATGTAATATCGTAGCAATATGTAAATATGTGAGCTCTTTATTAAACATTTGGTTGATATAACTAACATGTAAAATATTCAAAGTTGAAAATGTAATCTAAAATAGAGTTAAGTTCAATGTCTTAAAAGTTAAAATGTAAAATTTTTTTTTTTTAGATACAAATTTTTATAAATTATACCTATTAGAAATTTAAAATAACTTATGCGTTAAGTTTTATAAGAATTATTTGTTTGACACATGATATCACTTACAATAGAAAATTGTTACATTATAAAACTGGTATTTTTCCCAATATTCTATTTTCATAATATATAATTCATAATATATATACACAAGCTGATTGTCAGATAAGTCTTTGTTTACATCTATCACCAATAATGATCATGGGAGATTAAAATATTTCTCCATTAGCCATTAGCCATAGTACAAAAAAATCTTTAAATTCTCATATTTATAGAATGTTTTTTTATGAAAGACAATTTTGGTTCAGAATCCATAATAATGAGTGTAATTTAAAACAAATTCATTTATCAGAAAAATATTTACATATTTGACAAAATGACCGAATGGACGCCGCTGATGATTATATAGGCTCTCATTAGTACGGTAATGAAATATTTTTATTCGGAATAACACTAATTATTTACTGGTTTCGTTGTTATTTCAACGATTTCACCATTTTTTTAGCAAATCGACAGTTAAAGGAATAAGGATTATTGAATTATTGTTATTTTAAACGCGTGTCATAGATTTATTTTATATAATATGTATATTATTGTATAGTAAGTTAAAGATATGCTAGGATGATTTCGATAAGTATAATACTATAATTAATATATAGTATCAAACATAAATATTGTTATAAATTAATAATATAATATAATATAGGTAGGTACCTTTTTTTTTTTTTTTTTGCAGTTTTGTACCGACGGCGTCGCGGGAACTGCTTTCGCATTCTTCCGCGACTAGGTACCTAGTCTGTCTAATTAATACCCACGTTTAAACACTATTATAGGTATAGGTACTTACTATTAGGTTTGGTCCATAATACAATTTTATTGACATAAGTACCTGATTGCCAATTGGAATTTAAATGTATGACCTATCTTCGTACCTAGTTTATTAGTAATTAAAACTAATATTTAAATTTGGAAATAATTTATATTTAACTTTATGTGATAATATACGTATAGGTAGTAAATAAAAATCGTATAGTAAGTACCTAACTTTTTACAACGTGATCAAATTATAGAACATGACAAAAATATTAGTATCTCTCTTTATAATATTTTTATTTGTTAGAACCAAATTATTGACCCAGATTATGTTGCGTGTAGGTATTGGGTATGTTTACCTAATCCCAAAGGTGGGCATTAACTTGTTAAAAAGTTAAGTTAAAAAGTTAATTTTTTTTTAACTTTTTAACTAAACTAGTTTATTTATTTTGTTTTTAACTTATTAAATTATTCAGTTAAAATGTTCATTATTGTAACTTAACTTTTTATAGTTAATTATCATTGTTGTAACTTAACTTTTTATAGTTAATTATCATTGTCGTGCAGTTAAGTTAGTTTTCTTTTCGAGTCATGCGTAATCAACTATAGACAATATACTGATTTGTCGACTCTTTTTCGATTTTGGTCATTTATTATTTTCAAATTATATATTATAATAATCAATTTTTTTACATAGCATGTTAAACGTGTTGGTAAATGTTTGTGTATACCAAATACTGGCAGTTTATGACTTAAAAATATATTATACCTTGAAAAAAATTAACTTTTTTTGAACTGAGATAAGTAAGTTTTTATTTTCTATCTTAACTTTAAACTTATCTAGTTAAATTTTATTTTTTGTTAGCTTTTAACTTAACTGATTTAATTAAATTAACTTGCCACAGTTGATTATTTTCATTAACTTGCCCACCTTTGGACTTTAATCTATATAATGTTTATAGAATACTAATTAGGTAATAATTACTGTACCTACTGACGCATTATTATATCTTATAAAATATTGTGATTACATCAGTGGCGTATTTACGTATTCAATCCCCCCCTGACAAAAACCTAAATACACCACTGGATAACATGTTACCTATAGGTTTTTGTTTATTAGTTATTAACCTACCGACTTATTACACTCGTTATTCATGATATTTATTTAGAAAAGAAACTTTAGAATTAGAAAGTTTCTATATATTATTAAACCCGCAATAATAGTTTAAATTGTGTACACAAAGTACTGACGACCTCCCCTTTTTACTATTTTCCTACCTTATTCTTTTGTGTTGCGAATCGTGGGGCTACAGTGAAGAATTTTGCCTTAGCTGGGTTATTCTTAGCCCCAGTATTTAGCTAGGTACCTATCTAATACCAAAATAAATGCAATAATTGAAAAATTATATTATTATTGGAAGGTAGGTAGGTATATCTACACCCAGTACCGGCAGTACCTATTATATACAATAGTAATTAGTAGTATAGGACAAAAGGATATATTATACTAACATATAACAATATTCGATAGTTTAGGTTGAAAGGTTTTTAAATTAATATACATTATACTATAATAGGTACATTCTGTAACAGTAGGTTAGGTACTAACATTATGAGGTAAAAAAAATACACTTTTTACACTCATGTTCATTCCCAGCAATATTATATAATAGGAAGTTAATTTGCAAGAACATAATTCAAAGGTTTTGAAAAAACTGATGTACTTAAACTGTTAATTTTTTCCATTATTAGACAAGATTTATTAAATCTTTTTAGAACCAGCGAATATAAGTCAACTTCTTATTTTGGAAAAGATACCGTAACTAATGAATTATGTAACCTTAATATTGTATGCAATATATTGTACATTTAGTTTAAATCATTCCAAATAACAATGATACCTACTGAAATTGTACACTCATTTTAAACAAGGGATACGAGTGGAGGAATGCATGTAAGTATCAAAATTAAGAATGTACAAAAGTTTGAATTAATTAAATTATTTGAGTAGAGGTGATCCTGAGGCGAAGTGAAAATGTAGTGATCTTTTATCATTTGGACATACAACTTGTGTACAAAATATATCTATAAAAAATTGGTTGCCATTAAAGATTCTAAAGAACTATATTATGAAAATTTTAAAATACCATCCCATTGTGAGTGCATGTATACTATGTATAGTAAAACTGCAGATATATCAACAAGGTTTTACCAGAAGCTAATGAAGTTAAATACAAGTTAAACAAGAAAAATTAAAAAGGTTCAGATACATATACATAAATTAAAGTAAATTTTAATCTGTAAAATTATATTATACAGTCAAATCGGCTTAATTGGGACACATCGGGCGGTGACCTATTTGTCACCATTATCCCGACTGTCCCGATTAACCAAAGAATTTTACATACAATACAATCATTCGGGACTTTCATTAATGTACATATTAAGCAGGTGTCTCTTTTAAGCAGATTCTACTGTAATGTAATTTCATAACAATGTTTAAATATGTGTACTCTTTATTAAACATTTGGTTGATATAACTAACATTAAAATATTCAAAGTTGAAAATGTAATTTAAAATAAAGTTAAGGTAACAATGTTCAATGTCTGGAGACTTAAAATGTAACATTTTTTTTTATATAAACAAATTAATATAAATTAATAATTATACCTATTTGAAATTAAAATATAACTTTTGCATTCATTTTTATAAAGATAATTTGTTTGACACATGATATCATTTACAATAGAAACTTATTACATTATAAAACTGGTATTTTTCCCAATATTCTTTTTTCATAAGTTTTATAAATATCTACAAGCTGATTGTCAGATAAGTCTTTGTTGACATCTATCACCAATAATGGACATGGGAGATTAAAATATTTCTCCATCAGCCATTTTTCATAGTACTCATGTAAATCTATCAAGTAATCAAGTTTTATAGTACGCTCTTCTGGACGATTGCGACGTTGCATTCTTGTATGCACAATATCTGGTAAACTTCTTAGATACACTGAAATATTAAAATTTACCATATAATATCTTAAATTATGTTAAATAAATCAATAAATAAACTACAACCAAGTACATAAAAACATTTAAATTCTCATATATTAGTAGAATGTTTTTTGATGAAAGACAATTTTGGTTCAGAATCCATAATAATGAATGTAATTTAAAACAAATAAATTTATCAGAAAAACCCAAACTGTTTTGGTTTATGCTTTCCTAGAGTTTATACCTTCTCAGATAAGAGTAACCTGAGTCTGTGTGTTCAGACGGCGACTAAGTATGGGGCTAACAGCACCAAATTCCTGTGACATATTAATTCTAATAACCGCCTAATTTGCATTTTGCTTAAACCACACGGAAGTAAAGCAATCTTTTCGCTACTCTAATCTTGGAAAACTTAAGTTGACAAAAACCAACGTAATTGATGGATCAAACTAAACAAAATTTGATCTCCAACTGAGAATACTCTTACTTAAGATTGAGTATATAAACATATAAATTTTAAATATTTTAAAAATAAAATAGTGAATTGTGTGTAATATAAAACTACCTATATTAACCCATCAGAAGTCGAGTATGAGCGCAGTACTCATTCTGTTACTAGTATAGCTACCACTGGTGTCAATTTAAATTTTTAATTTTTGAAAACTACAATACCCTATTCTATTTTCATTTCGGTATTTTTCTATAAAGAAAATCACCCAATCCATAGTTTTGTGTTTAAATGACAATAGATCAAACTTGTTACTTCCGATAAAATATGCGACTATTAGTAAATGCATTATCTTGTTGTTTTTTTTTTTTTTTTTAATATTATTATCCATCATAATGGCTAAATTTTTGACTTATCATAGTTATAGTTTATAGATATAGTTATAAATTCTAGTTATAGTTTGTTGATCCTAATAAATTATTTACAACAAAATTCTCACTTACACTTTGATTTACAACTTTTAATATTGAATACTGGAAAAGTGAACCTCATAAATATAACCTTACAAATATACGAGTTTACTGACGGGTTAACTGTAGATACAAGTTTCAATGAACTTCGGGAATTCTTAATAGCTGAATAATTTGTAAATAATAGTCTTAATAAATAATATTAACAGAATAATGTATAATTCTTACCAATAAGATCTAATCCAATGTCTACATTTGTTTCGATGTATTCATACCATTGGCACATTACTCCATATTCAGGACTGGATAATAATCCTTTGTCATGCGCCATCTCCACAAAACAATATCTAAAAAAAAAATTGCATTATTGTACTATTTGAATGAATAGTAAAAAATTCTCCTTTAAATAAAACAATGGATATAAATATACCATATTCAATTCAAGTATGATAAAAATTAAAAAGTTAAATTAAATACTAATCCTTAAAATATGCCTATCCATGGTTTTATATATTATAAACTACTCTATCTGTTATTAAAGTAATTCGGTTTGCAAAGATTGACTAAGCCGCAGAACAATATCATGCCTTAATGACTGTTAACCGTTATTTTGATTGGAGGCTAATTATTGGTAACTACAGTTATGTTACAATGATTCCAGGAAACTTATAGAAATCATAGTCAAATTCTTCAATCATGAGCATTGAGCATGCCCAATTTTTTTAAGGTATGATACTGAAAAAGCTAACTAATAAAAAATACAAAAATGAAAAATGTTTATAAGCTAATTAAAATTATATTAGATAAATAGTAAAGCATAATGTTATAGCAAAATAAATGGTTGGAAAAAACATTAAAGCTAGATAAAAACATTTAACAATATGGTACACTTACAACCGTTAAAAAATGCATTACAAGATACTAAATGTGTACATTTTCATTTATTATAATTTTTTTAATTTTAATTTTTCATATTTTTAAATTTTTACTGCAGACCTATAATGTGATCTTTTTAGTGCATTCAAATCCAAGCTGTAATTACCTATTATTTTGTAAAGAACGTTCAAACATTTGTATGTCCTTATTTGTAGTTTTTGACTGTAAATTCAAACGACTTAATTGTACATTATGTTGAAAAGCAAAATTCCATCTGTGAGGATCTGAGTATGTCAGTTGAAGTAAGTTATGACCATTTAAATCTCGCCATGTTTCTATTGGTTCCTATAAGATATATTACAATAATACATAAATTAAAATTTTTAAAAAAATATATAATTTTAAGGACCTAATACAAATGTATTATTGCATAAAATAACTATACAACTATTAATAGTACATATTGTTATCTAATAATCACCCATAATAACTAATCAATAGCAAAATATTACACTCACAGGATTTGTTTCAACTTCCTTAAACTTTTCAAAATACTTTATTAATGTTGATTTTCCAGACCCAACATTTCCTTCAACAGCCACACGGAACGGTTTTTTAACTATCTGCTTTTTCATATTATTGTTGCAAAAACTAAAACTAAAAAATCAAATATAATAATGTAAATATTATCTAGAACCAAGGGCGCCCACATGGGGGGGGGCAAGGGAGGGACGTGTCCCCCCCTGGAAAATGTCGAAAATCTTGAAAAATTGTTTACTGTGATCAGAATCTACTTATTTATTTAAACAGAATTTAAAAATGTATTTTAATATATTATAAAAATCTATAATTTGTTTATAAAAAGTCGGTTTATTGAGTTTGGCAAATCGGGTTGTCAGCTTTAAAAACAACACTGTTATTACTTATTTAGACTTTATTATTAGCTCGTTAAATAATCGATTTAATGAAAACAACGAGACTCCATTTAAATTATGTTGGTTGCTTCCAAATGAAATGGTTAAACTACAAAAAAATGAATATATTAACATATTATACTTCAAGATATTGAAAATCATTTTAAAATACCTAATATAAAAGTTAATGGTTTAATTTGGTATGATTATTGGCAATTAAAATCACAATCATTTATAAACGATACAATGGTAGATTATAAAAAATTGTTAAAGGAGTTTGAATTTTTTCCTGCTGTCAAGAAAGGTATAATGATATATATTACATTGCTACAACATGCACTGTAGAACAATCATTCAGTACACTAAGGAGAGTAAAGACATGGACGAGATCTACAATGAGTGAAGATAGACTTGATGGATTATGTATGATAAGCATACATAGGGAAAAAATTGATGATAAAAGAATCACCCAGTATAGAACAAGTAATAAATATATTTGGTGTTAAAAAAAGAAATTTACAATCTTTATTTGTAAATTAATATTTTAATAAATATAACTAATGTTATAAGTGTCCAATTGATATTATTAATTAAATAAAAAATTCAATAAATTAATTTTATGGTTAGTTGGTTAAATAGTTATTATTATATAATCATCTAGTTTGATGTATATAATGTAATAGTATAATGTAAAATTGTAAACCCCTTCCTACCTCGTGGTCATTCCTATTTATAAATAGATTGATAAATTAAAATGTTGTCCCCCCCTTGAGAATTTTACTATGTGCGCCCTTGTCTAGAACTAATGAAAACAAAAAATTAGTTTCGCTTACACTAGGATCTGTTGTCAAATAATTATTGAATGATGGTACCTAGGAAAAAGACTTTTTCCATTCCCCATTAATCATTATTGAATAGGAACCTACTGAATAGACAGGTATTCTAACTAAAATACAAAACCCATTACAATATTTAGTACCTAGTTTCAGATTTGACTATTGAAAAATGTAAGGATTTTAATGAGTAGTATACCTACGACTATTCGATAGCAAAGTGCCAAAGTTGGTTTATAGTGAGTAGGCAATTTGAATAGATATATCAAATAATTTGCAGAAACATTTTCTATTTATTTCTTATGAATTGAAATTGAGGTACATTTATGGCACATTAAAATGTTATCAGAAAATTATTATTATGTTCTTACAAAATAAAATTACTACCAAATAAAAATTTCGATACGTAAGTCCCCACCCATAAAGTAATTACTCGGTATCCCCGTAAGTAGTATTAGCTAAAAATCTTGAAAAAATCACTTACTATATAGACTATATTAAATCTACGTAGCAGTAACGAGAGCCAGTACGAATACTCTTGTTGAGGCTTCGCAAGTAAGAAATCTTCGAAATTTCGAAAACTCACAGATTTTGAAATGAAACAGGTAAGGTTCAGACTTCAGAGGACTTCTGTCTTCTATAATAGTAATCAGAGCTTTGTTATTTTGTCAACCTGCAGTAACCACCGGCCAACCGGTTACATACTTACATGTGCTATTTACGCTACGACGTGTCAACCAAACGAGCCGAACGACCACTTGCGAGCCGCAATTTCATAAACAAAGGTTAATTTATTTTTGAATATCTCATAATAATAATATTCTCATTTCTTGGTGTTGTCAATTGTTATTGTTGATAAATGTTCCACTGATAAAAAAAAAGGCGGGAAAGACTCTTTCCGAAAGAGTACGCGGTATGCGGATTTACGTTCGGAACTTTGGCAGACCTGTGATTTGGTTTATTTCTCTTGAATAATTATTTTCAAAATATACCCGCCTAATCAATTTGATGGTAGGAAAAAAAAGTTTGTATTCTAAAGATAATAATATCTAATAATTGTGTGATCGTATAATAGGCAACTACTAAATACAAAACTGATAAAACAAAAATATTAGGGATATTTAAAAAATTATAAAAAAAAAATGTCTCATTGAATCTTATTCAATAAAATTATTAAAAAATTAAACATTTATAAGTCACTAAGTTAGATGACTTGTCACTTGTCAGGAACATATTTTATACGGAATAATAGGAAAAAAAATAATACATAAGTATAAAAAATCTACTTATATTATAAATTGTTATCGCTGTAACTTTTAAAATAATGGCTAATAATTATAAAATTATAAAAAAAAATATCTCATTGAATTTTAGTTAATAATATTATTAAAAAAATATACATATCTATACCATTAATTTCGATGTCAGAATGGAAAAAAAAATTACATAATGATAAAATTATAAAAATCCTAGGTGTATACTAGTTATATATTCTAGTTGTATTATCGCCGTAACTTTATATTTTGTGCCATAGCTTTTAAAAAATCTTTAAGTTCAATTTTATTTTCCCCGAAACGAGTGCATAAAGCATATTTTAATCTTATTTCCATTTTCTTTTTTTTTTCCTTTTTATTGATTGCTCACCCAGTTCATTTAAAGATAATTTTGCGCGGTCTGCAGCTATCTCATATCTTATTTTAGTAATTAGTTTCCAAATTGTTGGATGATTTTGTCCAACCATATTATGTGAAAATCGAGAGTTCCAACTTTCACATAGATTAACAGTTCTATGCCCGTCAGACAATGTTGTCAAATTGACATTCCAAGTTGTAGGAGGAAATAGTGGAGGGGTGCGACGATATTGTACTATATTATTTTTTGAAAGTCTACCTGGGCGAAATTTGCCATTTACTACATAATATGTATGGTCGAAATATAAAAGTAGCCATTGGTAAAAACCAAAAATTATCGGGTTTTTTTGTCTAGCCTTATTCTGTACTGTACAATTGAAATATATAACTGGTTTATAATTGTAAGCTCATTCCTAATTTTATTTACAGGTTTTCAAACCAAACTAACGTATATTAGATACAATATGTGAATATAGTAGATTTTATAATTTTACTAACGTATCTTTCACACAAAACTAATATATTATACAGAGTGGTTATATTATAAGTTTTATTTTGAATGTTCCAAATTGTATATTTCATTAGTTGTATGAACTTTTTTTGCCCCGAGACTTTTTTCCCTCAGACTTTTTTTCAGTTCCCCAATCAATGTGTGTAATAATTGATAAGTATCCACCTTGATAGTTAAATCACAGAATAATCAATGGTTATTCTGTGCTTATATTACCTATATCCTTATTTATCCACAGTTTTTTTGCTTATATAGACCTAATATTTGGCACTAATACCTATATATTTTTATACTTGTACTATAATACCAAAGTTATACATACACCTTAACCACCAAGGTAGAAGCAGTGGCGCCGATCTATACCAGAACAAATTCTGGTATTAAACCCATCTACTTAAAAAAATGTTTAGCTGCTCTCGAATATAGTGCAAAATAATCGCGATATATACTGCCTGGTGACCTGACATACTCATACTATTATGAATAATATGTACTTTATTTAAGACCCAAAGTTTATGATGTTTTTAAGTTAAAACTTCTTTAATAATGGCTTCAGCAAAACAATTAAAAAATTTAAAAACGAGCGTTGATAAAACGTATTTTTAAAAAAACAAATTGAAATTTTGTTCTCAATTTCCTTCCGTCGTTGGGAGCAATTACATATGTCCGGTAAATCACTTTATCACTAAGTACCTATATAAATATAAGTTTAAATTATATTTTTAATTAGGAAAAAAAATTTATTTTTTATAGTCAGACGACCTGACTCTGACCTAAGTACACTTTTTAGTTTTTATTATTTCTATAATCCGATAACGACGATATCTATATAACTAGATAACTTTCAACATTTTAACACAAAATAATTATTATTTTTATTTTCAACTACGATTCATCTGCTTATATTGTGTTGTATTAATTTCCAATAACTCGGTAAAACCCGATAAAACAGCCCATCATTACTTTTATAATAAAACCCACCGGGTTTTTGGATGGGTTTTTTCTGAAAATTTCAATAAAACCACCCATTATGACTTTTACATTAAAACCCATCGGGTTTTTAAGGTTTTATTTGAAAAAACCCAATTCTTTCGGTTGGGTTTTTTCTATAAACCCGGGTTTTTGTCAACCCTGCCTTTCTAACATATAATATAATCTAAAGGATTAGATAGATAAATAATTATAAAAAAAATTGTAGGTTGGTGGGGGTAACATATTATGATCAGCTCCCACAAAAACCTTACATGATGGTTACGCCTATGACGTAGACATAGAAATGTGGCCTGGGTAATATATTTTCATGGTCTGAATTTTTCTCCCAGGTCTTCCCTGGTTATAAGTAGCCGTTGCCGCCCAACTGCTCAATTTTAAAAGAGTGCCATGTCGGATCAACCATCGTGCCCAGACGCCCAGTGTGGCAGTGTTCATGACTAGTCATGGAAGTGTTTGAATAGCAGTCAAGCCGACTGGCTGTAATTAATTTTAATATTTTAATAATTAGTATACAATTTACGTTTACGTATAGATATCGATCTCGATCAATCTTTACAATCTGTCGAACAAAATACAAAACATTTTATAACTTTAGAGTACATATTTGACAAAAAGACCGATTGGACGCGGATGATTATATTGGCTCTCATTAGTACGGTAATTAAATATTTTTATACAAATAACACAAATTATTTACCTGTTTTTTTGTTGTTTCAACGATTTTACCATTGTGCGTGTAGTGCGTGAATATATAATATTATTAATTTATTGATTGAATATTATATAGGTACTTACTTGGCGGTGTTAATTTACACTTTACAGGGCTAATTGGTTTTAACGACTCTTGAGAGTCCTACAAATAGCATGATTGACCAATTTTCAATGTTAATATTATAATAATTAAACTGATTAAAATGGTCTTAACTAAAATGTTAAAAAGATTTATTTAATTTTTAGGTTCAATGGCCCAATTCAACAGCACAACAAACAAAAGACAATAATTCATACTGAGAAGGGTATTTAAGGTATTCTGCAAGGAATAGGCCGAAAAGAACACGTTTTTTTGATGAAGATACTACTGCAACTACAGCCATCACATCAAGTTATACGGAAGATCAAAAGTAGGTTGATTGGAAATTCCTCTATACCTATATAGGTTTCATAACTTAATATAAAACAACTATATAGAATGGCTAATACTTAAATAATAATTTTTATATAATTTATTGAAATAATATAATAATACATATAACATAGGGATAAAGTTTTAGAAAAAAATTTGTTTCAATCATCAACATTTATGGTGGTCTCTGGAACTTTTCCTAACTATCTTGATCTTAGCTGGAACTTGGAGGTCATTAGGTAAATTTTTGTCCAGTAAAATCAGGAGAACTAAATTATACCTACACTGGTGCAGTTAAGACATCAGCTAGCATAGATATATAATAACATGGATCTATAATATATTGATATTATTTTTTTGAATTTATGACGATAACCCTTTTTTACCTTAAATTGTATAAAGATGATTTTTAAAAAATGTTGATGTATTTAAATCAAAATTGCTAAATAATTAAAATAATTTGACAAAAATATAAAATATATGTGATGGAACTAGTAATTTTTTACTTATTACCTATAGGTATCTAATATGTAAATACTTGGCCAATTTTTACAAATTATAAAATATTGATAAATTGTATATCTAGGTATTAACTATTAATTACTAGAATAGTAACAATAAAATGTTCAACATGTCATTGCACATTTGCACTCCTATTGTTCACATAATTTATTATGGACCTCATACCATTAATTATTATTAGTTCCCTACGACCTACCTATACACAAAGACATAAAGTCTATTACCTGAAAAACTACACGTTTGAACTTTTATTTACATACCTACATCCGCATTTTCGAAAAGTAGACAATCAATAAAAAATTTACAGGGAAAAGAGCCATTTACATTAAAAAAAATATTTGTATCACCACATCACAAAATATGGCCCTTATTAAAATTCGTTATTAAACGGAATACATGGAGTGAGAATGTCGGTGCTAATTTATTATTAATTAATACAAAACAAATATAGCCAATATAGGTGACAACTGACAACTTTAACATTAAGATCCTATGATTAAAATATGTATTAAACCTAAATTGTCTTTGTAAATTCATTGCTCTTTATAATTTCTTTATTTTTAGAGTTGAACCTGTTATTATTATTAAAAATAAATATGTAAGAGATTTACAACCAGAAAACTTGAACAAATCGTTATTTACAAATGAAAATACAAACAATAATACCAATGGGCACCCAGGACCGGTGGAAAATTATCTGAAAAAAAAACTTCACCAATTGATTTTCCAAGTCCAACAATTGAACCGACAAGAATATCCAACAGTAATTTTGAATCATTGTGTGAAACAGAAGTATTTACCAATCAACTGACATTATTTTGTAAAGAATAATAAGATCGGATATGAGTCCGATCATGAGTCAGTATCCCATTGGAAAAATATCATCAAATTTGCACTTCATTCCATGATGTCTACACAAATAAATAAATAAATTCAAACTCTTGTACATTCTTAATTTTGATACCTACTTACATCTCTCCACTCGAATCCCTTGTCTAAAATTGGTTTCGTCAATATTTAGGTTTTGTATAATATAACGCCATTCATTGGTTTTTGTAATTTTATTTTTATTTAATAAAAAATATTTTCTAGTAAGAACTAATATTTCCGGAAGCAGGTATTACAAAAACCAATGAATGGCGTCATATTATACAAAACCTAAATATTAACGAAACCAATTTTAGACAAGGGGTTCGAGTGGAGAGATGTAAGTAAGTATCAAAATTAAGAATGTACAAGAGTTTGAATTAATTTGCAAATTTGATGATATTTTCCCAATGGGAAACAGAACAACTTGTGTACAAAAATATATCTATAAAAAATTGTGTGCCATTAAAGATTCTAATAAACTATATAATGAAAGTTTTAAAATACCATCCCATTGTGAGTACATGTATAGTAAACCTGCAGACATGTCAATAAGGTTTAATCTGAATCCACCGGAAACTTCAAAAACAAACAACTACGTGTTACTCAAGAAAAATTAAAAAGGTTAAGATACATACACAAAAAATAAAGTATATTAGGTATATTAATCTGTAAAATGTATAATATAATTTCGTAACAATGTGTAAATTATTCAAAACTAAGAATATGTAATCAAAAATAATGTTCAATGTTTTGAGAGTTAAAATTCTATTGTAAGTGATAGCATGTGTCAAACAAATGATTCTTATGAAAAGTAATGCAGTTCTTTTTATAAGAATTATTTACTCGCCGTCATACGTCTCTGTATTTATTTATTTATTCTTTATTATACCAATTATATGTATAATTATAGAGTTGTGGGATAAAAATCCCTATTGACTACAAGAACAACATAGACTTCAATATTACTCACATCTAGATGAAAATGATTCAACAACTATAGATATAATATATAGGCAAGTTATAGCCCATAAGTACTGCACTATCTACTGCTTATAATTTAAATATTTAATTTTATTAATTTAAAAAAAAAAATCGATTTTGTCAAAAAGTCCAATTATGTGGCGTAAATATACATAGGCATTCCCAAAATATTTTTTTTTCATGTTATTTTCCGATGCGAATCATCGTCGTACATACATTTTAATGACGGCTGCACATTTATAGAAAAATTATAATTTTTCATTAAGCAGTTTTAGTTATTTTGTTGTAATTAAAAAAATATTGACCCTCGAGGCTTACCGGTCCCTCCGTGGAAATTTGAAACATTCAACTGTTACTTATATATATTATTATTTTATTTATTTAATATTTAGAATATCATACGTGATGATATTATGTCCATGTATTGTTATACCAATACTGTAAATAATAAGAGATTGGACACTTGCACTAAGTTTTTACTGATGTGCAAATAGTCAATAATATAAGGCAGTAATATTTTTCAGGAACAAATAAAAACGAAAAATGTATATTACCTATAAATAAATAACATTTATTTTTTGGAAATTTATAAAATATATCACAATAGAAAAATCAGTACTATTAACTTAAATCTAGTAGATACTTTACAGTCAGAATATAGGACGCAGTTCACAATAGTATTTACAAAATATATAACAAAATTATATTACTAAAGGAATCAATCGACTTCTTCGACGGTAGGTCCTCCGGGACGGGGTCCTGGGAAACCATGAGCCCGGCCGGGATGAGGCGCATCACCGGCTTGTCCTGCACCGTGTATCTTCATCATTAGTGCCGAGCAGCTCTTTTGGATTTCCTTTAGTTTGTACTCGTACTCTTCTTTGTCTGCCAACTGATTGTTGTCCAACCACTGAATGACCGCGTCGCATTCCCGTTTTCCGGTGTTCCTTTCGGACTCGGTCAGCTTGTCGCCGGCGTCGTCCAACGCTTGTTTGACACCAAACACGTAGCTCTCCAACTGGTTCTTGGCCGCGATCTTAACTTTTTGTCGTTCGTCCTCTTCTTTGTACCGTTCGGCCTCGCTGAGCATACGATCGATTTCGGCCTGAGACAGGCGGCCCTTGTCGTTCTTGATGACGATGTTCTTGGAGCGGCCAGAGCTGTTGTCCTTTGCCGACACGTTCAAAATACCGTTGGCGTCCATATCGAAAGTCACCTCGATCTTAGGCGTACCTCTGGGAGCCGGAGGTATGCCGGTCAGGTCGAATGTGCCCAACAGGTTGTTGTCCTTGGTCATGGCCCTTTCCCCTTCGAACACCTGGATGGTAACGGCCGGTTGGTTGTCCGCGTACGTGGTGAACGTTTGGGTTTGTTTGCACGGAATGGTTGAATTACGCTCGACGATTTTGGTCATCACGCCGCCCGCGGTCTCGATGCCCAGTGACAGGGGAGTGACGTCCACGAGCAGCACGTCTTGGATCGCAGAACTCGTGTCACCGCTGAGAATGGCCGCCTGTACCGCGGCAGCCGTACGCTACTGCCTCGTCGGGGTTGATGGACAAGTTCAGGGGCTTGCCGCAGAAATAGTTTTGCAGGAGACTCTGGATCTTCGGGATCCTCGTAGAACCGCCCACGAGCACCACGTCGTGTATGTCTCCCTTGTCCAACTTGGCGTCCGTTAATGCCTTCTCTACTGGCTGCAGTGTCGATCTGAACAGATCTGCGCACAGCTCCTCGAAACGGGCTCGGGACACTCGGGTGTAGAAATCGATGCCTTCCATCAGAGCGTCGATCTCTATGGTGGCCTCCGAGCTGGACGACAGGGTCCTCTTGGCACGTTCCGCTGCCGTCCTCAACCGTCTCAGCGCCCTCGGATTGGTGTGCACGTCCTTTTTCGATTTCCTCTTGAACTCTTCTGCCAAATGAGACACCAGCCGGTTGTCGAAGTCTTCGCCGCCCAAGTGCGTGTCACCCGCCGTCGACTTCACTTCGAATATCGAACCCTCGTCGATCTGCAGAACGGACACGTCGAACGTGCCACCGCCCAGGTCGAAAATCAACACGTTTCTCTCACCTTTCAGGTTCTTGTCCAGACCGTACGCCAAAGCCGCAGCTGTCGGTTCGTTGATTATTCGCATCACGTTCAGACCAGCTATGGCGCCCGCGTCCTTGGTAGCTTGTCTCTGCGAATCGTTGAAGTACGCCGGCACCGTGATCACGGCGTCCGTCACTGCACGGCCGAGGTACGCTTCCGCGGTCTCCTTCATTTTCGTCAGCACCATTGAACTGATTTCTTCCGGCGCGAATACCTTCCGTTCACCCTTGAATTCCACTTGGATCTTGGGCTTACCGAAATCGTCGACCACTTTGAACGGCCAGTGTTTAATGTCCGCTTGGGTCTTGTCGTCGTCAAATCGACGACCGATCAACCGCTTGGCGTCGAACACCGTATTGACGGGGTTCATTGCCACTTGGTTCTTGGCCGCGTCGCCGATCAACCGTTCGGTGTCGGTGAACGCCACATAACTCGGGGTGGTCCTGTTTCCCTGATCGTTGGCGATGACCTCTACTTTTCCGTGTTGCCAGATACCCACACAAGAATATGTGGTACCCAGGTCGATACCAATCGCTGTTCTTCCAACCATTTCGGCAATAAAGTTGTCAACTTTGGTCACACGCACAATCAATACGAAAATAAATTATAAGAATAAAACGATTAAAATTTAAATAGCTTTTTATTTAAATTTAAAAGTCACTGGTGAATTAAATAATCGATAATTATACGTATTTCACTGACAGTCGCACAACACACAGTATATAACAGTTGTATTTCGTTCAATGAATCGCACTGTTGTCTGTTACCGCTTTGAATTCAAACTGATGCCGGGCAGCGAGCGTCTAGCGTTTATATACCTGACCGCATGTTCGAGAATGTTCGATACGTTTCGCGAGCTCAGCCGTGACCGCCGCGCTGTCTGCCCGTCACCCTACTGTACCATTATTTCTATAGTTTTATGTCTATATACCTTATAAATATAATGCAACAATGGTGAATGGTGTTAATATAGAACATTCGAGAATTTTCTCCATCTTTCTTCGTCTTTCTCGATTATTTTCATTGGGTTACTCACCATTAAACACCTCTATTAATCTGTATTGATTTTACAATGATGTGTTTTCAATTTTTTTGTCCGTCATCACCGTTTAGACTGATAGATAAAGTATAAAACTGCTTCGATTTTCTTCAGCAGTATCTTGTTCGACAGTAATACGAATCTAGTTAAAATTCACAATAGTTTTTTTAAAGCTTAGGGAAAAACAAATCAAAAATTAAGAAAATACGGTAATTTGTTTATAGATTTTGGTTTTTAGTGTGAGTAAAAAAAATAAATGTGAATCTTTCACAGAATATTAGCATTTTCTATACATGGTAAAATTTTCAAAATATTTTTTGACCTGTTTTGAGCGAATCGCGAAAAAAAGTCCCACACTAGGAAATAAAGTCCCGTTAGAAATGAATGAAAATATATCAAAATTTATAAAATAAACAGTAAATTATTTTACAGGTACAATTTTACCAAGTAAATTAACATCTCTAAAAATGACATTATCGTCACAGACATTTGATAATTAAAAATTTGTCATACACAATACACAAAAGTATATAATATAATATTATTTAATAATATAGGTATTCGTTCCACAGACGAAATACTTCTTTATAGATCTACTAAAATGTTGTTTAGCTAACAATAGTAACACATTTATATTATGTTTTCTGATTTTAAATAGAAAAATGTATGGACAACCAAAATTTCCTTGAATTCAGTTCTTGTTGATTGTTATAAGTTATAACTTATAATTTATAGGTATTTAAGAAGTTTTTATGCAACTCAAAAACAAATAAATTTTAATCACATCAGTTCATTGGCATTTGTGCAATATGTGATCTATACCACATCACAATAATATCTACCATAGTTACCTTGTGAGTCTCTAAATATACTCTTTCGCCCAAAGCTAAATACCAATAAATAATATAATGAATATACATGTGATTCACCAAGCGTGCTTAACCCCATGTTTTATTTTAATAATGAATTTATTGAAATTATAATATTTGGAATTTTTAAATATAGGTTAAAGTTAAATAGTGACCAAAAAATAGTTTTATAGTTCCAAAAACACAGCTTACTGAGTGAATTAAGAGCAAAAATCCTTTCATAAAAGTTGTATATTATAAATTATTCTAGGGTAATATGGGATTACATTTTTGATTTTTTGTTTTCAAAGCTGAATATTTCTATCCAATTATGCTGTTGTTTTTCTGTTGAGACAATTAATTAAAATATCATTTACCTTTCCTATATTGAATTAGAAAAATGTGTTCACTATAAGTTGTAATAAAGGTTTTTCTCTAAAACCACTCAGGAAGCCGTATTCTTGGAACGTGTGAAAACGTTTTTTACTTGTGTGGCTCATATTCAAAAGATAAAATAATATAACGGAACTCATGTAAGTTTTTATTGATATTATAATTTTGAATTAAATTGTGAGCATTTTAAAATTGAAAATATACTGATACATATTATTAATCTAAAATAAGTTAAATTATTTTTAACTAAAATAAATTATTTGGTTTCAAAATTAATGTGATTACCAAAAATGTTTGTTCATTTTCTTACCTACTTATTTAGATTTTGTTTCATGTTAGACAAATTCTACTTAATTAGTAATTTATTAGGAATTCACACAAGACAGGATACCCATTTAAGGCAGGTTTCACTGTATTTATATTTGATGTAAAATATAAATTTGATAAAAATTTAATATTTTTAATATTATTTACCAGTTACCACGTTTATATGCAGCAGTTAATGCGCATTGAATTAATGTGCATAAGGAGCGGATTTATAAACACCTAAAATATTAAGATAGATGCCAAATTAAATTTTAAGTTAATGCTAATGTTTTTTAGTCCAAGTTTTATACTTTGTATTCCATTACCAAAACAATAATTATACATTTTTTTTTTTTTAATTCCCGCGAAAAAATTAACTCACATCAAACCGTTTACATGCATTTCTGAATCCCGAAGTAAGAGTTAATTTAATTTGACGAATCAAATTAAATAATAAATGCACATTAGTTTAATGGGAATTAAAAATGCGCTTATATGCAACCAACTCCCGTAATATTAACTCGATGCTCATTGAGTTAATACGCATTAATGACTGCATTTAAACACAGTAACTAAACTTTACTAGGATAACAATTAACTATCAACATTAATGTCTTTCGTAAAAACCCATCGTTTCTCCTTTAATTCAAAATGAATGTTTGCATACTTATTAGTTTCACTAATACCCCCAAAACATAATAATATAATATAATATAATATATACATAACCTAATAACCTATACAAAAATGGCTAAGTACTCCTCTGATTTCTCCAATTTTTTTTAAAGAATTCAACAGCAATGTTTGCTTTCTTAAAATTATTGATTCAGTTATAATTATTTTTATTCAGATAATAAATTTAGTATTAACTATTAAGATAAGATGGCAACGGAACTGTAAAAAAAAAAATTAATAATTAGAGAAACAATCATGTTATTTTAATTTACACATTATTTATAATAAATTTACCAACAAATTCTTTCTCATTAATTTCATTAAATATTATACTTAATTGTTAACATTTATTTTAGTTTTAAGATGATGACTGATCTTTTTCTTTTGCATCTTTTTCCTTCTTCTCTTTAGCTTTGGCTTCTGCTTTTGCTGCAGCAATTTCAGCTTCCATTTTCTCATATTCAGTAATAAGTTTCTCAACTTCATGTTTTTCAAGTATGTTTGTGACAGTCTGATTACTTTCTCGTTTAAGTGTAGCCATTTCCACTAAAAAAATGTATATCAATTATTTATTATTAATAATTGTAATTTTTACATATAACTAATATTTATTTGTGGCATTAGTAACTTCTTATTAAGTTGAAGGTACTTTAAAGTTTGTTCAAAGACTAATAAATGTATTAATGTTATTTAAATGATCATTGTATATTCAAAAAATTATTACTAGCGTCATGATGTTTATGACCCATTAAAAGCTATAAATATATGCCCAAAAAATATAAAAATATGCCATAAAACAAAATATGACATTATAAATTCGACTAAAAATTGTTATTATTCATTTGAAATATAATATAAATGTATAATAATAAGTTATTAATAACTAATAGTCGTCAGTCGATAATTCGAAATGATAAAGCTAAAATTTGATTTATTAAGGTTTTCGATTTACCGAGTGTTTGAATAATCGGGAAAAAATAAATAGTTTGAATTAAAGAGATATGGAAAATCGTATTAGATACATACATTATATTTATTATCTATTATTGTATATGTTTATGTACATATATAATATGTATGTATTATTAAATGTTATTAAAGAAATCTATTATTTTTTTTTATGATAAATTGTTGGCCACTTATAGTCCATAGCATTATTGAACTTACTGATATCTACGATACTATAGCTATACTCATAGCAACTGCGACTTGACGCTAACCCGCTTTGTGGCGGATTGTCTCTAACCAGGGTTTTAAACTAAGATAGAAAAAAGGTAAAGCGCTTGTATTTTCACACGTTTTATAACAGATGGTAAGATCAGCTGGGTTATGGGTATGTTTAAAGTATGAAGTATGATTCTTTGATTATCATGTTTACTAAATGTATTATTTTTAAAAAGTTTAAAATATTTGTCATCAATTTTAAATATGCAGCTCATTATTAACCGTTAGTTTTAAGACCCTACTGAAAAAAAAACATGAGGCGTGTTAGCGTCCAGTCGCAGTTGCTATGGAACGCACTATAATAAACTAGTTTTATATTTTATAAACTATTATTAATTTAATTACTAGTATGTCAATTAGGTTATTTATATAATAAAAATGTGATATAATCACATATAATATTATAAATTATAAATAAATATAAATTTATAGTAAAGAAATTAGAATTCTGGCAAAAAAAGTTTGAATTGTAGTGTCTTCCCTCAACAGACATTTTCAATTATTAAGGAAGAAATACATGTATTTTCTTTTAATTATAGAGGGGACCAAGTGTTTAGTTTGATGTATGAAGTTTTTCGAATTATCGAGTGACGACTGTAATTTTTAATTATAAAATTAATTTTAAATTTTAGATTTTAAGTGGATCAATGATTATATATTTTTTTGAGTATACACTTTTTGTGTTATGTAGAAAAAATACTTCAATTATCAACTTTCACCCTTTCACTACTCTAGCCTTTTATGTTTTTAACTTTTTAAGTATATAGTTACAAGTTGATATTCCAAAATTAAATATATTTTAATATACTAAGACTTTATTATACGAAACTAATATATTTGTCAATTTATTTGTGTATATAAGTTGTTACTGGTCAGATGTACCTTATCTTTACAACCATGGTCAGGCACGTCTAGATACAGCATTTTAAATTTTAATTAAACTATTCACTTACTAATTATGATGGAATTTATTCAATCAGATAAAGGAAAATTAAAACTTCTGAAAGAAGTTTTCTCTGTTACACACAGGCGATATATAATGGGTGTGTGTAAAACAAATAAAAATTCAAATATAATGGTAGCATCAGAATCGAAAAAAAGAAATAAATTTGCGTTTATTGAATTTGTTTTGAGTGTGAAAGAATTAGGAGATTTTGCCCAAACTCTAAAATTTTTTTTTGTCAATCTGTTACAAAAAAAAAAACAATAAGAACAATTGATGGTAAATATAAGCTAAATAAAATTAAATTAAAAAGGCAGATTGAACAGACTGCAGAGGCCTCACAACGGAGGTAGGTACTACGACAAACTCTGAAAATACAGAGAGGTTTTTTCCAACTGTGGAGAATTAATGTATATTTCCAGTATATTATACCTTTATCAGCTGTAAGTTTTGTAGCGTCCAAAGTTTTTGATAAAATTTTCACAGCCAATTTTTTTGCTTCATCTAAAGTCATTTGTCCTTCTTTATACTCAGTTTTCAATGATGCAATGGCAGCCTATAATAATATTTGATTTATTAAATAACACTAAGCTCTTTAATTAAATTGATATTGTTTACAACGTACAGCACTGTTTGTTCCAATACAAGTTGCTTTCCAACCACAATAATTTCCACTAGGATCTGACTGATACAGTTGAAAGCCATAATGCGCATCCCAACCCATGTATAATATTGATACACCAAATGGTCGTTTGCCTAAGAATATTCCAATACGATAAGTAGAAATTGTCTTTTACATATTTTTTTAAAAATAAATACCTCCATATTGAGTATATGCTTGTTTAACATCACACAACCACGAAACCAGCTGTTCACATGGTATAGAATCTCCATACTGCATACGATAACGTTCTGAAATAGAACGTAATTCACTAACTAAGACATTAGCATCAGCAGTAATACCAGCTACACTGCAAACCATGTCACTAGGAAAAATTTGTGAAAGTTAAGACTTTTTAGGTTCAAAATATGTGATTAAAAGTAGTTAAATTACTCATTTAGCTTATAAATTTTCTCTGATCCACAAGTCTCATCAAGCAGCTTATTCACATTCCGTTTTTCAGCTGCAAGGAGAACTCCATCATTTGTAAGTATGCCCAAACACGTTCCAGCATGACTGATTGCTTCTATAGCATATTCCACTTGATATAATCGTCCTAAAGTAAATAATATTTTGCATCAGTACATAGACTCACTACATGTAAAAAAAAGTAAAAACAACTATTAGTGTTAGACATTACCTTCAGGAGAAAAAATAGTTGTTCTCGTATCATATCTTCGCGCCTAGAAAAAATTCAATAAAAAAATTAAAATAGTATTATTTATTTATCAATGTTATTAAATTCAAAAAAAAAAAAGTTGAGGTGATTTTTTAACATTTAATAAATATATTTGTATATATCTCATTACCATTTTTAAAAGTTTTTAAAAATTTTACGTCCAACGGGGAAATCGTTTCCACAAGGCGAAGCGATACAAGAAAAATGAAAATCCAATGTGCATTCACAAATAACTAATAAGTTTAGTAAGTAACATGACAATTTATATTTGTCATGATAAGTAATAACAACGATTTACGATAGTACTATCTTAAATCGTGGTAATAATCGTAGACCTATTAACCCGTTAACTGGTCTAAGCATTAAACTTATTTATCGCCATACATCGTTGATAGATAGATGGCAGTACTAGTATTTAAGAGTTCCCTGTTCCGTCAATAAAGAACGCGGGGGATTATAATATATATGTTAATCTCATCTTATAGTTGCAAAGGGAATAGGGATAGAACATCGTGTTATCTCATTCCGTGGTTAACGATCATCGTTTGTTTTGAATACTCGACCGTTCGAAATTCAAATACCCGTCTATAGACTAGACTGCTGACTGCTGACGAGATAAACTGTCGTCAAGTATTATAGGTCGCCTATAGAGTATAGATGACTTTATTAAACTATTCACTTACTTTTTAATTGAAATGATATTATATCAATTACAGTGGTTTAATTATCGTATACGTTAGTGGTAGCCGGTGTTGGTTTTTGTTATTTCTGTAATTGATAATTATGTTTCATTAATAATAATATTTCTTGAGTTTATTTCGAGTCTAAAATCATGTCCAAATCAGGCATAGAACCCAAAGCTTCGTCTACGGCTGTTAAATCTCAAGATCAACGGTAAGTTGCAAATTATAAATACCTAATTATATAATTATTACCCAAGATCGGGCTCTATCTGTCACTATACAAACATAATAAATAAAAGTGGGTAAGTGGATGTCGATCTGCTGTATAATAAGTTATAAGTGGGTCGCTGTATAATAAGTTATAAGTGGGTCACTGTACAATGGACTGTATTAAATTTGAATGCAATGATATTGTATCATTGTATACGAAAAACGATTCTGAGCGCAGACGGTTGGTCAGTCAGGATATTTTATACTGTGATTATATTTTATTATGGCCCGTAAGTTGAATTGATATTATAAATAACTCAAAAGTGTTATTTTTATTTTTATTCGTTTCTATGGTGATAAACAAAGCTTTAGAAATTAAAATACCATTTTTAGCGGTTTTTTGTAATTTGTCGGTGGTTTTTCCTGTGGTATTAAATAACTCTTGAGAAAATCGAAAAATGACCTCCCTAAAGTACCATCTTGATCCAATTTGCTAAAAGATGAGGAAATGTGGAAATCGAAGCACTCCTTCTGGTAGAACTTTTGTATACAGGATATAAAAAAGAAAACAATTAAATACCATTGTAAAACCACTAGATCCCTCTGAATCTAAAAATGTTATATTTAAAAGGATCTTCCTAATTTTTGAATGTTTTGTCTCCGTTTTACGAATGTACAATCCATAATCCACAATATTATTGTGTCATCAGTTTTCATGGCAGCAAGATTGGTTATTTTAATCTGTTTGCTATTCCACATCAACATTTGGGCACTCAATATGTTGATTATATGTCAATTTACAATAGTATTAAAATTAACAATGGATGTAAGTTTGCTATGCTGTATATTTATGAGACAGAGAAAATACATTCAGGCCACATATCTGAATATGTATTCTACATGTTCTGTATATATCTAAAACATGTTCTCAATATTTATGTATTATTATCAGGGCTCGGAAGTTGTAGCACTAAAAATGTTACTTCTTAGCTCTTAAATATGCATTTAAAAACTCCTAAATATGCTCTATAAATAGCAAAATAAAATTTTGTGTATGACATCAGAGAAGTGTGAAACATGTTTGTATCTTACTTAATTTAGTGGTCGTGCATTGAAATATAAGTTAAGCAGGCTAACTTATACCTAATTGTATAGTTTATTAATTATATACAATGATATTCAATATCCAATATTCATAGTACTATCGGAGCCTCTTGACACAAATACGGCCAGGGGCCCCGGACGCGTTTTCGGTCTGACGGCCAAGACCAGGCTGACACTAACTATATATCAGAATAAATATTTTTAAAATATATATTAAAATAAAAAAGTAGATGTCGCTCTGCTGTACAGTAGGTTACAAGTGAGTCAATGTATAATGGGATTGTATTAAACTTGAATTCAATGATATAATATCATTGTATGAGAAAAACGATTCTGAGTGGAGACGGTTTGTCAGTCTGGATATTTTATATTGCTATTATTTATTATAGCCTGTAAGATGAATTAATATTATAGTATTATTATTTTTTTGTCCGTTTCTATCGTGATAAACAAAGCATTAGAAATTAAAATCCGGTTTTTAGCGTTTTTTTCAGGTGGAATTAAATAACTATTGAGAAAATCGAAAAATTACCTCTCTAAAGTATCATCTTGATTCAATTTGCTAAAAGATATGATACTATATGTATAAATCAGAGCACTCCTTCTGGTAGACCATTGTAAAACCACAAAAATACCCCTTTAATTGTATTTAATATAATAAAAAAAATATATATGATATCTAAATTAACTGTTTAACATTTTAAACTAACTTAGCAATGAATGCATCTGGAAAAAAGATGCAAAGGCAATCATTTCACTGCCTTAGTAGTAACTAGGTAATTAACTAATAGCCATTCAAGCCACAGTTGACATTTAAGATCAATTGAAGAATAGGTTGAATTTAATTTTCATAACTTAAATGCAAATATTTATAATTTATATTATAGGTCCTTAAGAAATTATCTTAAGAATTCCAGAAACAATGAAACATTTGGTTCAACATACTCCGATGAATTGACCGATTGCAATTTAGGAACAAAAATGTCAAGCAATGAAAAAAAATTACAAATGGATAGTATGTATTCATCATTTGGTGGCCAATCTTTGGGAATTTTTGAACTAGAAAACATGTCTGGTAATTATTATTAAAGTACTTACTAACCATACATTTTTTAACATTTCTTAATATTTCTGTAACTTTTAGATATAGGTAATAATATATACAATAAAGAATCGTTACAATACAATATTCATAATAACCAATCTGTTTTGCAACGTCGTTTAAGTCAAGCCACTCAAGCTAGAAATACTCTTGCTAGAGCAAGTTCAATAAAAAATATTGTTAATAGTAAATATATATTTTTCCTAGTTTAAATAATACCAAATAATACTGTTATTTATTTATTTTTATTTTTTAAAGATAACGAAGTTAATAAGCAGAATGTCAGGTCATCTTTAATAAATGTAACCAATTCATTCAACGAAATGTTAGTTTTAAATTAGACATTAGTAATTTTTAATTGTACTTACTAAATATGTAAAATGTGTTTATTTAGGTTGAAAAGCAATATTAATGATTCATGCAGTTCATTTTCAAGTAATGATTTTATAAGTGGTAGTGACTTTAAGGAAAAATTAGCAGAAACTGAAGAAATCAATCGCAAAGAATTTGGATCATTATCTGAAAGTCGTTTTGATTTTTCTTTGGAAGGAGAAAAGTAATGAGTATTTATAATTATTAAATTTATAATTTTTTTTAGACATTTTGGTGACCTATTACTGTAGCAATGCTTATCAGAAGTTCAGTAATGGGTGTATTACCAGTTATATATAATATGTAAAAAAATACATAAGACTTGTAAAATTATAGGCAGTCCAATGAAAATGCATCATTTGCTGCTAATTATTTTGCTGCTAAAAGTATACCCGTAGAAGACTTATCTGCAATTTTTCCTAAAAGAAAAAACTGTAATAACACATTTACTAAAGAGTTAAAAGGAAGTTCCTTTTTAGTTCCAAGTGATATTAAAAACAACCCAGAAGGTGATTTATAATTATATTTTGTGATCAACATTGTGTCCTATTAATGTATTTGTCGACTTTTCAGATCAACAAGCACATATAGGTTACAAGACAATGTCTTCAATTACATCTTGGACTGACAGCCATGTATCCAATAATTTGTTAAACTTAACAAGTTTGTCTGATATTTCTGAAGTATTAACATCTAAAACGAATTTAGCTAACCCAAAAGAATTGACCGAAATATTGCTATCTGGAGGTTTGAAATTCTACAATAAATTGTTTTTACTATAGAAATATTGCTTACCTACTATTTATTCTTCTGTAGATTGTAAACTAATTTTGTACCTATTGCTTTAATTTTATTTTTAATGCTTAGCAATTTTAAAATGTTTCATTCAGATGTGGGAGTAACGTTTTAATTGAATAACTATGAAAAATATAAAATTCATTGTAATTAATAAATTTATATATAAGAATTTTATTTGCATATCTAATTGAATAAAATGTGAATATCATTAAAATACAAAATTTGAAGTCTTCAATTGTTAATTTTTAATCATAAATTTACTGGAAAAAATAATTTCTATTTCCAGTAAATAATATTAATTACATGATAATTAGGTAGGCAACTGTTTCACTTTTAGTTTTTCAAAGGTCAATGTTTATCAATCAATATCATTTAAATCTATAAAATATTACTTTTACTCAACTATACTTAAATGACTAGTTTTATATAACATTTTTTTAATTTTTACTTTCAGTGCTCATTGACATAATTATTAATGGACAGTCTTAAGAGGACGCCACACCCGCATGTGTTGTCTCCGTCTTACAAACGCGTAACATATAAAATTTTACACTCTGCAGGTCACGTTTATCTCAGTTAGTTTAAAAGTTAGAGTGAATTGACCTCTTATTAAATATAAAGGTAGGATTATTGTTGAGGGCATCTCACAGGCATTTTATTATATTTTAATTTTAAAACGAATATCGTGCATTTAAAGATATACAAACAATTTACAATTTTAAAATAGTAATAATTCGCTCTAAAATTAAAATATAATAAAAAGGATATGAGATGCTCTCGATAATAATCTTACCTTTAAATTTAATAAGAGGTCAATTTACTCTAACTTTTAAACTAAAGGAGATAAACGTGATCTGCAGAGCCTACAATTTGATATGTTACGCACTTGTAAGACGGAGACAACGAATGTGAGTGTAGCGTCCTCTTAAAACCAAAGCTTTTCTGCTCATAATTTAATAATATTGATATTCACAGACTGAATAAAAATAATCAATTTACAAATTAAACAACATTTTTTTTTTTTAAATTTAAATTTTATAATAAATTCATCATAATAATTATTCTTATATAAAAATAAATACTGAATAGTTTATAGTGTGTTTAAAATAATAATACGAAACATTTTGGCAAATACCTAAAAATTACAAATCGTTTTTATTTTTCAGTGATAATAATACATTTTTATTATTGTTATTATTATTATCATTATTAATCTTAAGCCCAGCAACTATAACAATAAGTTGTTTGTAGGGGGTACTGTTGGATTGGAACATGTGTATGTATATGTGGCGGCAAAGATTGGTCACTAAAACCCGGGTGGTCACCCATCCGGGAACTAGTGACACCTACCGGTGCTTGTATTCAGACTTTTGTGACTGAATACAATCACTGTGCCAAAATAATTAACTTATCATAGCATTTACTAGTAGAACTTCAGTTTAATTAATGATCGAGCTTTGAAGGTAACATATTATATTCACATTTTATATACATAAAATATATATTATGTATGAATATAATTCAATTTTTTTAATTTTTATTTGTTTAAACTTTAAATTAACTTAAGTATCTCATTTCTTATAAATTTAGATTTGTCTGATGACAGACTTCAATCTTATAAGTTTCCTCAAAGACGATTATCTACTTCCACTAGATTCTCTTATGCTTCGCAAAATCTTGAGCATGCAGAACTATGTAAATTTCTATTTATTCTTCTCTGTTTTTTCTTTTTTTTTTTTTTTTTTTTGCTTAACATGTAGACTATAATTTTTTTTTTTTAGATTTTCAATCTTTAGAAAATTGTAGTTTTATTTCTCCTCAAAAAAAGATTGCAAGTATCCATGAAACAACTTTAGAATTGAATAAAAGTATTAACTCGGAAAAAAATTATGATAATAAAAGTGAAATATGTATAAATACTTCAAATCAGTATACACCAAACAAGTACAATTCATCCAATAATTTTAATAAGTAAATTCATTGCACAATACAATTTTAAGTGAAACATCTAATTGGTTATGTATTTATATGTTTCAGGAAACAAACACAAACCCAAATAAATGAAAGTTGTCATTTTTTTTTGACTCCTAAAAGTGGATATTTTGAAGACTGCACATTGGGAACATCAGATATATTAGACAACAATATTGATCTTTCAAATTTTTCTATTTTAACTAATAATCATGAAGTTCTGACCGAAATATCTTTAGATAAATCTACCAATATTTCTAAAATTGTCCGTTGTAATGAATCTATAAGTCGAGATAAATTAAATCAGTCAAACGTTCAAGATTACAGTTAGTTTTTATTTTAATTTTTGATATAGTGCTTTAAAAATATTTTTTGATTGATACATTTTCATATTTATAATTTATTATAAGTAGGAGTTTGATTCATAGATTAATGTATAAATACTTAAAAGTAATTTTTATTTTGTGTATTTTAAATCTTAACATTTTAAATTTTATCACACAATAATAATCATTTTCCTTGATTTGGATTCCTATTTCATAAAAAATTATTTACTAATTTTGATAAAAGATACATTAAAAGACTATTGATGAATATTTTCTTTTTAACACGGTCTTTTTTTTTTTAATACTTAGGAAAAATTAGTAAAACGCTTGAAATTGGTGATGTATGTATTGGAACTTACTCTCAAGCTGTAATTACATTAGAAAATCAATTAACCATTGAAGCTAAATACACATTATATTTATTGCACACATCACTTAACCATATCAATGATTTTAAACTTGATGAAAATAAAGCAATTGGATCTAATGCAGCAACTATATTCTGTTCAGATAAAACTTGCATTATACCACCATTATCTGAAGCTTCATTTACTGTATGTCTACTAGAAAATGTAATAAATATAAATGTATATTTATATATATTTTTTTTTTAGGTTGGGATTATTCCCTTAGTTTCTGGAAGTATAAATATTTATATAAAACTTAAAAGTGATGATATATCCCAAGAAATTTATCGTAACATTCAAATTCATTCTATTGAGCCTCAAGTACTATATTATTAGATTGAAGTTTTAGATAAATCATTAAATAAAATATTATTATTTTTAGGTTTCATGGATAAATAACTCTTTTGGCTCTATAGATTTTGGTTTATTACCAGAGTTAACAAAAAAGTCATTACCAATCAAGTTAATGAACAAAGGAACATTCCAAGTTCCTATAAAATTTATTTTAAACCAGGTTTGTTTAAATTAAATAATGATCCATATAATATATATTTTTGTTTGCTAAATATATATATATATATATATATTATATCTATATCATATAATTGTAAACAAAATATAAATATAATGATATTATAACTAATTGTTTTTAATCAAAGTTTAAGAATATTACAATGTAAAATGTATTCAAACCTTAGCCACCAAAACATACAAAACCATAACACATAATTACTATAACTTAAACTTTATACTTATACCTTAATACTTTATATTTCGTACTTTTTAAATAATCTTATAATTGTACCTATCTAAAATGTTAAATGTACTCATAATTGTTTCAGGATAACTGTGATGACATTATTCAGGCTAAAGCCATTCTAAACCCATCTGAATTGTGGCAATGTGATGTGAACATGTTAACAACTCATTTTTCGAAAACTAATTCGAAACTAACTGGTCGTCTTCAAGTAGTTTTAGATTCTGTTGAACAATTGTCCACCAATTATTCGCCATTGTTATACTGTTGCAATTTAACAGGACGTGTCGGTTTTACATCTATCTCTTTTGATCAGAATCCTTTATTATTGCAAAAATCTGGGCAGTATTCATTGAATGGTACTATAGAAATAACCAACAATAGTGAAATTCCAATTAGTTTAAGTGTACTACAAAATAATAAACAATGTGGAGTATTTACAATTCAGCCTGATAAATTCAAATTAGCTGTTAAAGAAAAAGTTAAAATGAATGTTGTGTTCTCCCCATCCAAGTCAATTAATTATTTCAAGTAATAATAATACTTTAACATTTTAATACTTAATTGATCACTAATTATGAATTATTTTTAGTGAAACAAGTATTTATTTACAAGTCGTATCTTCGCAGAAACAATTTTCTTTTAAAGTCAACTATATTGAATCTAATGGTAATAATTAATTTTCTTATATTATGTACTTGTACATTATATAAAATCAAAAGTGCATTCAAAGTTATTTTATTTTATTTTAGTTGAGTTTCAACAAATGAGTTCACCATCTTCACGACCTATATCTCCTTGGAGTACAAGTTCATCAAGTGCAGGTATTTTTTTATTTAATTATTAAATTTATGTATTATAATTGATTTTATTTAAATTTATTAACAGTTGGACGGTTAGAATTGGAATCTACATGTTCAAGTTTAATATGGGGGAGTGTACCTTCAAATACTAAATCAGTGCAAATATTTACCTTACGCAACCGTGGTATGCATAAGGAAAAATTGCATTTAAGAATAAAAGATAATAGAAATTGTTTTAAGGTATTTAATTATTTTTTTTAAATAATATTTATATATCATTTTTAATTGTATTTACTTTTAAGCTGATATCTTCTGGTGAAAATCAAGTGTCAGAAATGAAATTGTTACTAGAGCCAATGGAAAGTCAAAAACTGAGTGTAGCACTTATATCCACGTCAAATGAAGGCCAGGCTTATGGTCACTTAATTTTGCAAAGACGACATAGCAATGAAAAACGTGTGGTGAGTTTGTAAATTATTTATTATTAATTTATTTCACAACCCAGATGCAAAATTACTTATTTCATTAAAAACATCTAGGTTTTTTACGTTTGGGTAAGTTAGGCTGTTAGCTCAGAATTGTTTTTTCTTTTAGTCTGCTGATTTTCATGAAAATAGTTTTTATTTTATCTTTTGTGTTTATCTGTGTTTTTGAAACAGTATGTAGAGTCAAAAATGTACTGATAATAAATTGATGATTGGTTTTTGAAAATTCTATAATGAATACTTACAACTATGTTTATATATTTAGTTTCAAATCCATAAGTATCAAAAAATGTTTTGATAAATATAAAAAAAACAATACATTGGGAAGTTAACAGTTGATCTCTATATGGTGGAAAACTATAAGATTTAGTCAATTTTATACTTAAAATTATTTTACATAAAAATGGATTTTTATTGGTTAAATTATAATTTTCATTGTGTCATCATTGTCCAATATTTTGATGTTTCTCTGTGGTTTGTGTTTAACTTTATAACTGTTTTAATACATAATTTGTTATAATTCAGATTTCATTATATGGTTATTGTGGTCATTCAGTAATTGTAATTCGTGGTCCATTTGAGGACAACTTTGGTAACATGTGGTTGTATCCAAATCCCCAACTTATGACATCTCAGTTGTCTATAACAAACTCTGGAAATACTGCTGCATTTGTGAAATTTGTTCAAGGTGCCATTTTATTTCAACTACTTTGTCTTATTTAATTACTTTCATTAATAACCAAAATGAATGTTCTAGAAAACTCATCAGAAGATATAATTCAACCGGATGAGTTTATATTGAAAAAAGGTGAAACCGTTAATGTTGAAATTACAATAGTTATGAGTCCAGAACGATTAGAAATGTTAATTGGACAAAATTGTAGCTCAAAAGTTATTAATATAAATAAAATATCATTGATTTATGGTGATGAAGCATCTAGAATGCGTTTATCGAGGTTAGTATAACACCTTATTCATTGAGTACCTTTTTTCACATATTGACATAGAATTTATGAATACAAATATATAAATCATACTTACATATTTATTCAATATATTCTCTTTTTTGAGATTTTATCTATAAATAATTAATTATAACGAAATGTTAATTGAATTTATTTTTCGTTTTTCTATTTCAATGATCATTAGTATAATACACTTTAATCATAGAATCAGTTATAACATAATCAGTACCTATATGTATATACAATTATTTTAGTGACTGTCTATAAAATATGTGAATAAACAGATGTCAAATATGTTACATTTTCAAGGAAAGCTATTAATATTACAATTATTTGAATTGCTTACTTAAAAAAATATTATTTAGTGTGTCTACTAATACGATTCTGTACAAAATATACTCGTATATTATACACTATTTAAATATTGCATGTCGAATCGAAACATTTTTATTATTTGGAAGAGATTGTATCACTCTATTATTTACAATTTTTAGAAAAACTAAAATAAATCAATAGAGTTTATCTCATTCCTGTTCAATATTTTAAATTATATGTTATTCAGTTATGAAATTTATATAATATAGATAATAATAGGTATATACATTTTTATAGGCTCTATAAAAAAAATAAAGATAAAAAAAAAATTGTATACCTAAATCAACAACGTTTAGATGAAATATCAAACATGTTCAATGGGGTTCATCTTGTTAATGTGGATCATCTTGAAGATACCGAGGTAAATTATAATATTTATTTATAAATAACTATTAAACATGTTTCATTAAAAAAAAATGATGTAAATGTGATGTAGAAATTTTTAATGGGTTTTTTTTTTTTAATTTTAGTATTATTTTACATTTGTTCTATAACTTGTATTTATTTGTTGTATATGAATTTTTATTTTAAACAAACTAAAAATAGAAACAGCTTTTTAAGGTTTTATTTTTTAGTTCATTTCTAGTTAAAGGTCCAAGCTCTTTTAAGTTTATGAAAAAGTTAGGTAAATTTATTACATGGTGAACTCTTTCCATGTCTCAACAAAAGAAATTATTGCTTAAAAATGCTTTACTTAAACTTTTATATTATTTAATATAATTAGGTAACCTAACTTCTATTATGGAGAAAAGCGTTTTCTTACCTATGTTTCGTTCTACTAGAGAATATACCAGTTATGCACACTTTTTTTTTCTTTTCCACTGGTCATTACCTATACCGTTATGTGGAAGATGCACACCGCCGGACAAATATCGATTGCCACTTAGTGCCCGTATTACAATCCTTAAACTAATGTTAAACCACCGAATTCGGCCGGTAAAATCAGTGAGTTATTCATAACCGAGATTTAAACTATGATTGTAAAACAGGCCCTTAGTGTTTTCTCTTTTGAACAGAGTTGATATTGATAATTTCACACAACCCAATTCATTTAAATTGAATGTTCTATTATATTAACTGTTCAATCATGTACTCATCATGTAATAAGAATCTTAACCTTGTTTGTTTATAGAAATCATTGCCTAAACTATGGAAAATGGGTATAAGTGAAGATAGTATTGTGGTTTTGATGGAAACAAGTAATTTGGAGTCATTATTATGTGATACAACAACAGTTTTTAGTGAACTAGAGACAACTGTGTAAGTATATAGAGGTTTACATTTCAGATTTAAAATAAAAAACATACCTTACAATTTTTATTTTAAATTAACTACTATTATTATATCTTAAAGTGCTCAATTTAAAATCAAAAAAATATTAGTAGATTTGTTAAATTTGTTTGATGCATAATATCATGACAAAATAGATATGTCAGCAACTTTTTGATACTCATCGCGTTCGCCAACCACTCCTCACCCCTTCTATTAGCTGGTTCGCCGCTGTATGTTGACCTGGTAATTTAACGGCCAATGAAATGAGGCAAACTAAGACTTTGGTTGGGAAGGGTGGGATGCGCTAACCGGACTACGTCTCGTATTGTCACTGACATACCTAACTATTTTGTCATGCATAATAACATGTATTTATTAGAATATTTCTTATACTTAAACTTGATAAGTAATATCTATAAATTAAGAGGATGTGATACCCGCATATGTTGTCTCTGTCTTACAAGTGCATAACATAGCAAATTCTACGCAAAGCAGAACACCTGTAGCTCAAAAAAAAAAAGAGTAAATTGACCTCTTATAAAATCTAAAGGTAAGATTATTATCTAGACAACCTCACGGGCTTTTTATTATATTTTAATTTTAAAGCGAGCTTTCAGTATTTTAAAATTGTAAATTGTTTGTACATTAAATTAATGGAGCTACACGTGTTTTGCTGAGCGTAAAAATTGCCATGTTATGCACTTGTAAGACGAAGACAACAAATACGGTTATCACGTCCTCTTAACCGGCAGCATCAAAATAGTAATAAATTAATACCTTGTATACTCATATTACATATATTATGTTTCAACATTTGTGAAAAAAAATGTTATATAGTCGTTGAGAATTCTTAGAATCTTCATTTACTATACTTTTATAAAAATAATTTATTTGTTTTAATGTATTTCTTACTTTTACAGAATCAGCAGACTACCCTAGCGACTTCCAAGTCAAATATTTATCAAAAAATAATAATTAATTGTTTTATATATGAATATTTTTTTTTTTTTTTATATATATATATTTTATAATATTAATCATATCTGATGTGTAAAATTTTTAATATTTTTATGATCTCTATAGTTTTTTTTACGTACAATGAAATGTGTTTAATAATCATTCAAACTTTTAAATAAATATACATTTATACTTTAGATTTCTTCTGCCATTATCTTGTTTTTCTCAACTTTTCTACAGAATGTAACTGAAAGAAATGAGAATAATAGTTGATATTTCTCACAAAAATCCATAGTATATAATTGCTGAGGGGTACTCAATGTGGCAGTGATGATGATGCAACAGTTTAAAATGTCTTGGAATAATAAATGCCAGAAAGTCAACAAGGCTGTCCTTGAAAGAGTCCAATGTCGTTTTGGTTCAGGGGAGGGGTAGAGCTGACTTTGTTCTCTAGGGGAAATTTAACCGAATAAGAATGTACGATTTTTTAGTTTGGTGATTGTATGCTGAGAACGTGGGGACATAACTTAACATTGTACGCTAGCAGCAACCTTTATTAAATTTGAATATATGTGTGGTGTTATACCTTACGTAATGCTGAAAACATATTTTACATTTTGCAGTAGGATGAAAATTACAATTTCCAACACTGACTATTATGGAATGATAGGAGAGTGAAATTGGAAAACCAAGGTAGAAGTCAAAAGAAGCTAAAATAATCAAATATTTAAGAAATATATGGTAGGATCTAGGCAATAACTATAATGGGATAACCATAACGTATCTAATCTAACCATGAAGCAGATAATTTTTTATTTGTAAATCTAATTGATCTTACTCAATAGAAAGCTAAAACATTACAGTTTATAATACAATTATTTTAAACAGTAATGCAGCAACATTGCTAAGATAAAATTACTAAAAGGAAAGACTTCGGAGCAGGCTATTCATATTATAAAATATCTTCAACAATGTTTTGTAAATACTTAATGAGTAGATTATTTTATATAAAATTAATATAATATTTATATGAGGTATGTATGAATGAGATTGAAATAAATTTTATAAATCATTGTATTATTTATTAATTAATCTCAAATAAAGGAATATAGTAAGGTAGACTTGGTTTTTAAAGAATATTAAATTAAATTAAAACAATAGATGTACTACATTATTATTTTGATAGTTGAGTTTAATGTAAAATTAAAAAAAAAAAAAAATAGGAATTAATAACTAACTTTAATTTAAAATATTTATTTTTGGTTTGTCCCTTTGCAAAATTGTTTAATTTATAAACAATTAGTTATGATTTGAATGGAAATGTATAAACATAATAATTCTGTTGGTATTTACTGAATGTAATTAAATGTTCATAATAAGCCACATATACTATGACATAAATTACAAAATAAAAATAATAAAATAAATTAACTGTACATTATATGGAAAAACTGATTTTTTGAATTAAATAATAATAAACTATTTTTGTTTTCGTTTTTGTTTGTTGGAAAAATACAGGCAGTTTATTATTAATAAGTATATATAAAAAAAAAAAGATTCAACTTAATGTGCAAGATAATGAATTAATTGAGACAGTTAACAGACAAATCATTGAATTATGGGGGACTAATAAATTACAAGTCTTCGTCCTCGTCAGGCAATGCAGTTTCTTGAGCCTCCTAAAAATAATTATTAAATAGTAAGTTTTGTTGGCATAATAATGTATTTTAAATTTTACCTTGAGGTCTTGTTCGATTTGGTCTTGCCATTGAGGGTCCATCTTAATTTCTGGGGGTACAAGAGCAGGCATTGCAACAAATTCAAGGTTGGGATCACCAATTAATTTTCTGGCCATCCACAGGAATGGTTTTTCGAAATTGTAATTACTCTTTGCACTAATATCGTAATACTATAAAAAGAAAAGTTTTAATCAATTGTTTTTAAATAAAAATTAATTGTTTATTACCTGTAAATTCTTCTTGCGATGGAAAACTATTGTTTTAGCTTTTACTTTCCTATCCTTGATATCCACTTTGTTACCACAGAGAACAATCGGAATGCCTTCACATACTCTCACCAAATCTCGATGCCAATTGGGTACATTTTTGTAAGTGATACGGCTGGTAACATCAAACATGATGATAGCACATTGACCCTAAAAAACATTTAATTTAGAAACTTAGCACAATAGTGTAACTTTTTTAATATGACATATATGTTGTTTATAGTAAATAATATATGGGATAATATGTAGACTCAATATTATATAAGACATCCTTTTGATGTCTTATATTTTAGATAAATATATATTTTTTTTTTTTATCAATTTAAAATAAATTTCACCTGATCCAACTTTTAACATTACAAAACAATTGCATATTATTATGAAATATTGTTCTATAGAATAATATACAAATCAATAAATTACCGAAATGTTTCGACAAAGATAACCCAATAGTTTTGTAACTAGTAACATAGTAACAGTACAATGATTTTAATTTATAAGACTTCTTGTGGTAGTTATTATTTAATATTTAATATAAATTTCTATTAATATTATTATTACTCACTACTCAGGGATGTTTAAATAAAAGAATATATTTCATGTATTATAATATATCCATTTTTTTTTTATACATATAAATTCAATACACTGCAGGGAAAAATTTGTATGTATACTTACGAAGAAACATGCATATAGTTTTTTTCAAATATAAACAATTCATATAATTACTTGAATATAATATCCATCCCTGAGACCTCCAAATTTCTCTTGACCAGCAGTATCCCAAACATTGAATCGAATGACACCACGAGTTGTATGGAATACCAACGGATGTACTTCTACTCCTAATGTGGCAACATATTTTTTTTCGAATTCACCCGTTAAATGACGTTTAACGAATGTTGTCTTGCCAGTACCTCCATCACCAACCAATACACATTTGAACGTAGGTACATCATCGGGTACATTCATTATTACTTTTTCCTGTATAATATCAACACAATTATTGTGAATGAAAATAATAAAAAATACACATTTTTAATAGTGAAGGTTAGGTATAAGATTTTTAATTGTTAACAAAATGTAGATATGTAGAGAACATCATGCCCATCGAATGGAGGGCTAAATCATGAAATATTACTGTCTTTGAAAGGCATTTAACAATGCTTTTTTTTACAAAATGCCTTAAAATAACGTTATCGTATATTTTTATTTTCAACATGTAACAACGCATATAGTTCAATTCTGTACACATATAACTAGTTCGTTTTTCCTAAAAATCCAAAAGAATAAAATAATGCCATAAATTTCAGTAGACACTTTATTCTGTGACTAAAAGTGTCAATTGATTTGATAAGGAGTACAGACACCTAACCTAATAATCAAATAAATACTCAATAGTCAGTATAAATGTTGAAAAAACCAGTACGATTGAAATAAAAAGATCGGTTGCAATTATTTAGTCTGTGACGTAGGTACATTGAAAAATGTCAATGGTAGTAATTAGAATAATTTGTTTTAACAGTAGATACTCGTTTGTGTGCCTGTAATAAATCACATGGTTCAGAGAAAAATATTTTGAAGGAACGTCGCATCTAACGAAAGTACGCGAGCCAAAACATATTAAACGGTCAACCGAGACTTTTAAGAATTGAAAAATAGCGTTTCATCCGAGGGAAACACCACAGGATTATAACCTAAGATTTTACGAACCAAAGTTCAAGAAAAAATGCTCAAAATTACGTGCTACCGGCGACAGAAGCGACGACGGCTATTCACTCCTGAAACACTAGCAACGGCGAAATAATGTGACTACTTACGTATTTAATAGATGTTTTGTAACAATTCCGATTTCCGGCGAAAAATTTGGAGTGGCGACAATACCGTACTGTAACGGATTCCAACGGATTCGTCGGAGTCGTGAAAATAACGCGCTCGAAGAATAGTGATTGCAAACAAGGAATGATGGCGTCAGGAGAGTAGGAGACCGCCTCCGATGCCGCTATCACGTCACAACCCGCCACAGGAACTCTAAAGATGTACAGTGTTGCCAAATTTAAGCGTGGTGGCGAATGATATTTGTATTTTTAGGCGCCATTTTTTGAATTGAAAACATTAAATACGAGTGTTTTTTTTTTTGGCTAAATTGCGCGCTTACCCCCCCCCCCCCGAGTGGCGTGGTGAATGGGGTTTTATGACGCCTAGGCGTCATAGTGGAATTTTTTTTGGGGGGGTGGGGTGGTTGGGTACATCATGGTAACCAATAACATACAACAAAAATTAAAATATTTACAGTTACATAATAATTATAGGTACTCTATATATTATATTAAGGGAATAAAGAGCGAGTAGGTACTGAAATATATGTTGGGCATCAAGGTTTATAAATGTTCACCACGCCAGTCGCCACTGCCCCCCCCCCCCTCACTCTAAATAAAATATTATTTTTCTCTATTTTTCCGTATACGATGAACATTTTGATGCTAAAAACGATTGGGAAGTCAACATTTGGTGGTACACCGATTTTATGAAATATCATCAACACAATGTAGTGTTAAACAGCTGCAGTACAGCACCGTATTCATACGTTTTTTTACTATTATATGATGTGTCTCAATAGTATCATAGTACAATTATTATATTATAATTCATTGGTTTGAGAAGAATTTCCTGATTTCCTGATTTTCCGGTTCGATCCTACAGTTTGATCGACACGTTTTTTATAATATTATACTACATTTTAGGACGACCATCACGTATACAGTCATACAAGGGTGGGCGGCGTTGGGGTTAGAACCATAGGCTCAATTTAAACTTTTGACTTGGGGGGGGGCTGAATATATTAAAGGCAAGCAGACCATTGCAATATAGCTTATTAAAATTGTATGTCCTAGGTTTTTGGATGGGCTACGGCTAAGTTTGGGGACTTAGGCACCCTCCCTCCAATTTGCCACTATGGGTTGAACCCCCCCCCATTCAAATTTTTTTGTCGTGACTGAGGGACGACTATATAACTGCGATCAAATGCGATTTATGAATGAATTAGATAATTCCAATATGTTTCGTAAAGATACATATTGTTAGCTTTGTTCCTATATAACTGCTGTATTGAATATTGATAATTTATTATTTAGAAATAATCTTGTAAAAATTCTATCACTCGTGAAATTATATTTAAAATAAAAATTACAACTGTTATAAAATATAGTGATACAAAAAACCACTCGTTATTCCAAAAATAAACATCGTATTTAGTGTACCTACTTATTTTGTTTATTTTATTAATTCTTACTTAATTATTCTAAATCACGCATGTTGAAAGTGTCATAACTTTTGAATAAATATGTATAATTGTTTAGGTACCTTATTCCATCTTATTCTTACTATTGCAGTGGCGATCGAATTATTTTGTCAAGGAAGAGATTTTGCTGATTTTTTAACATTGCATATTTGATTCATAAAAATTTAAACTATAGTTATCAGATTTTAAACATTGAAAAAAAGGTCATGGGGTATATATTCCCCCCTTACCCCCCTCACAGGGGCGGATCTAGGATTTTTTTTTGGTGGGTGCTAATTTGTGTATTATGGTCATAAGGTACTTATTAGTTATTATGGAAAAAAAAATAATAATTTGAAGCTTAAACGGCTAGGAAAATCAGTCTTGCAATGACGCAATGTGCATTTGTTTTAAGATAATTGTATCAAAACATTATATAATCATTTTATTTTTTTCTTAAATGTGTAGATACATAATACAATGTATGAATTTTAAAATTTGATCCGAGTCACCACATATATTCATTATTTCTAGTTATTTTATTAAAATAAGATGTTATACTGGTATTTGCTTGACTAGAATTTCTCTTAATATTCTTGTTTATTTCATTCATAGTAAATTAGTAATGTTAAAATTTTCGATGTAAAAAAAACAAATTTTTTACTCTTGAAAACCGTGAACCAATCACCGAAAAAATGAAATGGCTACCTAATGGTAAACAAGCTGACCCCGCTAGTACACCCCACCTATGTGGCAGTAAACGTTTAAATTAACGTATGAATACGGGTTACACAATAAGGGTGTACTTCATGTTGGTGATATCTGTGTGAACGAACATGCCGCAGACAAAATCGCGGTAAGCCCTACGAACAAGTGTACCTCAAAAATGCCAAGGGAGCCGTACCAAAAATTATACCTACCTAATTTTCAATAATTAATAAATAATAATAATTACTTATCAGTCTTGTAAAGAATACTTTTATTTTGTATTCGGAATACATATTCGAATAAATGAGAATTAAGGTATTCAGAATATGTATTCGAATAGTTCTTAAAAAATATATTTCGAATACTAATAGAATACTTTTTTTCACAACAAGTTTTTGTCAGATTTTGAATGGTTGGTAATTAACATTTATTAATTAATAATTAAAAATACATCGTTATCATAAGTTATTTATACAATTATACATTTTGACCAAATATGATACGGCCGATACGGGCCTTACGGGACACAAGTATACAACACATGGGTGTTTATAATAATAATCATCTCATGGGCCAATATTATATTTCCTTCAAAGAATAAAATTGAAGTTCATGATTTATAATATGTCTTGTCACAAATTTAAAACTATTTTTCTGGATCAGAAAAAAGTATTTTTTTAATGAATAAAAAATACAAAAAAAGTATACAGAATACGGATTTAAATACTTTTTAAAAAAAGTATTTAAAATAGTATTTGAATACAAACAAATTATTCAAATACTTTTATTCGAATACTTTACAAGACTGTTAATAATACGCGGGACGGTGGGTGCTTTGGCACCCTAAGCAGTGGCGTACGCAGGGGTAGGTTTCTAGGGTTCTGACCCCCCCTGAAATTTCTTCCGTTGACAAAAAAATAAAACCATTTAAATACACAAAGTCGATCAATTGTTGGTCATTTTTAATAGATATAATATAAATTGTTAAATATGACAAAGACATCGATAATCATAGTTTCAGTTTTTTGGCTGATTTAGAACATTGCGAAGCATCTGTCATAACCGTCGTATGGTGTATTATCATGTATCACCGTCCATCGATAATTACCACATATTACGACCCGAATAAGAGGCTCTATACTCTATAGATGACCATAGGTGTCAAGATTGAACACTCGAGTGTTCTTAATGTAGACTACATTTGAGACTAATTATAATTTGTTAAAACCAATAACATAAAAACTATTTAGAAAAAAATAATGTAAATTATTTACACAGGTGAAACCCTAACCGAACTAAAATCCTGCGTACGCTACTGACCCTAAGCACCCCCCCTCCCTAAATCTGCTCCTGCCCTCTCACCAATTTTACTATTTTACTATCACTGTACCTTTTTGTTGACTATTGTTGGAATAAGTTGTTATATTAATATTGTTTTAATGGAAAATAAATGTTGGTAAAATACCTAATATAAAAATACACACTTGACGCTCCATCCAAATTGTTTTATATTATTGACATATTATGACAGTTTAACATTCTCAATCAACAAGAGCGAACTGAAAGACACAGTCAATAATATAGTCATCGTACCCGCATGTATTGTCTCCGTGGTCCGTCCTACTAACGCATAATACCTACTCCAAAATGTATGTCTATTGTCTAGCAGTTCCAATATTGTTAGCTTAAAATTGAAATATTAGAGTGATTTGTATATCTATTACTTATTAGGTATCAAACTTAAATCTTTTCAAAACTGTACCTTGTGCATTGGCCCGTAAATCGTAATGCAATGTAAAATAAAATAAATGTTAGAACATTATCTGTGTTCACTAGTTGGATTTTTACGATATTTTTATTTTTAAGTGAATTATTATAGTACTTATGTAAAATATTAGTAATTAAAAATGCTTATAATTCACTTAGAAATAAAAATATCGTAAAAAGTCAACGAGAGAACACAGATAAGGTTCTTACATTTAAA